ATGGAACCCAGTGCGGCTGTTCACATGGTTGCAAACATCGAGGACACTCTGGAATGCCCTGAAAACTCCAAAATATGCCCTGACTTTACCTACTAATTATTGGAAAGCACGATCAGGTTGAGGGCTAAAAGGTCTGGCTTCTTACCAAAGTTCTTATACATTACAGAGACTGCCAGTACTGGCTTAAGTTTGAGTATTTATTTTTACTTGTTAGATGTTGCCCAAGTTATCTTTTTACTTAAGTCAAAGGTGTCAAACTTGCAGTCCTCCAGATGTTTGGGCCACCAAGTCTCAGAAGCTCCAACAAACTTGTCCAAGGGCCAGGAATTCTGGGAGCTGAAGTCCAAAATTTCAGCCACAAGTTTGACACCACTGACTTAGGTAATTAAACTTGCATCCAATCTGCATATGAATGTAATGGGGGGAGGGTGGTAGGGGGGAGGTTCTGGATTGGGCTGTAGTTCCCAATATCACTCACCTTTGGAGATGCTAGTCAAGATTTGTAGGCCAAAATATCTGGATGGCTTCATTTTGCCCACCCCAATGTAAGCAACAGTATGAAAAATCAATCACAATTCCTAAAGAAACCAGGCTCAAACCAACCTATCAAGCCATTGGTTAGAAGTAAACTGTTTTCACAAGAATTAAGTATCTGGTGAAATTACAGTTTGGGCTCCAGAGTTTTATTTTACTGGGGAAACTGTATTTTTTGTTTGTTTGAATATTTAAATGGATGTAAGCATTTTGCTTGTTTAAGCATATTCTAGAGGCGTTGAGATTCACTCTAGAAAATTCAACCCAAGAAGGGAAGAAAGAACCAAGTTAAAACATGAAGGGCTTTCTTTTCCTCCCAAATATTTGGAAACTTGGCTCAGAAATGTGGAACCTTCTATAGCTCTTGCCAGTGTAAAAAAAAAAAAGGTTTTCTGTAGCACCCCTCCTTAATTTTGCAGCTGGACAAGTTCTTCATCAGGACATTGGATTGTGTTGAGTTATGGTCTGTGGTTGTGATCTGAATGTGTCTCGGAAATGGAGTTTCGTTCCACTAGGCCTCAGAAATGTACTCAGGGATTGAGGAATGAATTGAATCCATAGAATTTTCCCCAGAGGATTGCTATTTAGAGCACAACCACAATCACATATCCAACTATAAAATGACTCTATGCCCAAAAGACAGGGGCAAATTAAGATTCTCCACCCAAAGTGGGAATGGTGTGGAAACAGACTTTTTCTCTCTATAGTGGGCTTCAGCAAACTGCTGTATCTCTGGCAGGATTTGTCCAAAGGATGGATTGGATTGTCTGGAGACAGAATCATAGAAGAGACCACATGGGCCATCTAGTCCAACCCCCTGCCATGCTGGAAAAGCACATTCAAAGTACCCCTGACAGGTGGCCATCCAGCCTCTGTTTAAAAGCCGCCAAAGGAGCCTCCAAGATGGCCACCATTCCATCCACACAGAAGAAGAAAAAATGTTTTGATACTAGGGACTCCCCACAACCTGACTTTCCAAATTGTTTCTTGCTCAGCTTGGGAAAAGTCTACCCATTTGCTATGTCAACAGGACAAGAGGTGACTGCAGAATGTTTCCCATGATTTTCCTTGGCATGTATATTAGCTACCACCAGCATCCAGGCATCTACCTGGACAATGAAGGCATGCATGTGTATGTGCCTCCAAGTTGCCTGTTGATTTATGGTAACCCTGTGAATTTTATAGGGTTTTTTTAAAGCATAGAATACTTGGGTGGCTTTGCAGTGTACTGTGCACGTCCTTTAGCTGTATCTATTTTAACTGCAAAAATTCCAACAGAAAGAGAAGTTTAAAGTGTCTTTACCCCGGTAAATCTTATACCTGTCTGCTTAGTAGTAGTTCCTGTTATTCATAATGAGACTTCCAGTATGTATTTACAGGACTGCAGTTTCATCATTAGTGACAGGAAGCTGCACCTCATGGGTGAAATATAATTTCTGCCAAGCGAATATCTGAAGCATCTGCATTTCTTGCAGAACACTAGAAAGAGATTACCTTTCGGGCTGAGCAATGCATTTGCTGCTTGACCTGAACTATCAAAACTAATCTTCACACTCGGCGAGCACACATTTCAAGATAAATTCTTCCGTGACCAAGAGATCCTCAGTGATTAGTCAGCTTCTTTTCAGTAAAGCAAAAAGCAATAGTAGGCATACATGTTTATTTTACTATTTTCCTTCTGTTAACACCTCTCTACTTATCAAATAGATCAAACCACAGCAAAGGATTTCATCCCACAGTGACTTGGAGAGCGTTTATATACACTTAAAACAGAGCTCCATGGATCCCATCAGATGTTGCAAGGTCACCCTGTGGATTCTCTGTTTGAGCCCGTTTTTTAAGTGTGTAGAGACTCAAGGATTTTTAAGCTGCTTGGGAATTGAATTCAGGTTGTTCCCCCCACATAGAGACAGGTTTGAACGGCAAAGCTTAGGTATGATGGAATTGTTTTATTTTCTTGTATTTTTCTGTTCTGTGACATTGTCCTGTGGGCAATTCTTAAAAGTGACCCAAACATGCAGTTATCACGATTTAGGAAAAGTAGACAGAGTGGTAAATACTTTTATTATTAACTGCTGTTCACAATGCCAAAGCAAGGGTAATTTGCTGGAATGTTTCTTTTTCCATGAAACCTTTAATTCTTCAGTACATCTTAAGCTGCTCAGGGGTGTTTTTGAGTTGTATACCTTATTTTCGATCTTTTAAAACACATTCATATAGTCCTTCTCCATTGAGGAGTTTTACTTTTTTTAAAAATGTGGGGGGAGAGAAAATAGAAGCTACCACTCTCCCATGTGATAGAAGAGTCTATGGATGATTCCTGCAGAAACGAGATAAGGAAAACATGTGTGATGGGGGTAAGAAAGTTCTCCAGATCCTAAGTAACATTAAACGCCATTCAATTTCACCCGACTTTGGATTTCATTGTGGGATGAAATCCAAAGTCTCTCTTGCTCTCTAAACAGCACAGACAGCACGTTCTCACACCAGGGCTTTAAAGCTGGCATCCCACATTTCTGCTACCTGCTAAATTCTGAAAAATGTAGTTTTGGGTGGGGCCTTTTGAATCCTCAGCTACAGAGGTCCTCGCCTTTCCAAACTACATTTCCCAGAATTCTGCAGGCAGCAGAAATGCGGGACTGCCTGCTTTAAAGCCCTGGTGTGATAACGTTGTTAGTCACCTCATAAAAATGGCAGCTCCAGACCATTCCTAATCCACTGACAGAAGCGCCCAGCCCTGAAACTATGGAAAAGTGCAGCCATGTATGCCAATGGTGGATATGAAGATCATACTGTATCTGTTTGAACATCCCCGACAGAAAACTATAACGTGAAGAGTACCATTTACTCCTAAATATGTTGTTTTTTCATTCTGCATTCTCTTGACTTGTGCTCATACTGTTGAGGAATTTAAGAAACCTATTTTAAGTCAATTTAAAAGACAGGATCTTCCAATTCCTAGTCACTTCAGGTTCATGATTCAAACCTCACATGGAAGAAGTCAAACATGCAAGGTACTCACTCAATTAAGTGCTTTTATTTAGAAAAGTAACACAAAGAAAATATGAAGAGTAATAGATCTAAAAGAGATAGAACTAAAAATGATGCAAACGTGCCAATATAATTGTTAAGCACTTTAGAAAGCACTGTCAAAATAGTTCCTACTGATGATGGTCACCTGGAATCATGGCTGGTGTCAGAAAGGTCCCAGGGATAACACTGCCTTCACAATAATGTTTGAACAAGTGCCAGCTATATATCTGATAAGAACAACGGCATACTGTAAGTTATATTATAATCTAACAACTGTGCTTGAGTAAGAATAGCAGTTGATTTATTTTTTAGTGAAAGACAACTCAATGAAAATGGACACCTCTATTAGTGGCTATCAGTGGGTGTGGTGGCTATTAAAGCAGTTAAACATGCTTTTGAAAGGGATAAAAAGCAGTCAAAACCGTTACAATTAAAACAATGCACCTTGCTCTTGAACCCCTTTCTTTATTTACCCACTTTTTAAAAAAAGCCTGCTGATTTTTAAAAAAATCTTTTCTGGCTTGCAGAAGGAAAGCAAGCATCCCTTGCTAGGAGCAGCTGTTGGGAAAAGACGCAATAATGACCAGGCAGGAGACAGGGTGTAGAAGTGAATGATGATGGCTTTTTTATTGTTGCCCAAGCAAAGCTTATATGGGTTCTGGTGCTCTTCAGCAAAGGTCTGCATAGCAACAGTGGGGGATTACATAATTGCCAAGTGATTGGTTGGACTCTCAAGGGTGAGGTAATCTACAGGTGAGGTCAGCTATAGGTGATGTCATCCTTCCTGCCCTCAAGGGTAATGTCCATACATGGTCAGTGGGGTAGGAACAGTTTATGCATCTGGGGAGTACGGCCTGCCTCCAGTCCCAGGTCATGATGCCCTGTATACTTTGCCAGAATGGTGTGAAGCGTAAGTGTCAGGGGTCTGGAATTTTCCATGCGCGTCCAGACTAGAATGGTGTGCCAGTAAAAGCCCAGAGGCGCATCGCCACTTCAATGGGACATAATAATGTCATCACTCCTTCATAGGAGCAGCCATTCAGATAGCCTTGTCTTGAGTCTCCACCAGCTTTACCTGTGTTGGGACTGAAAGATGGGTCTTTCCCAAGAACCTTGGGATCCAGACAGAGTCATATGAAGTAATACAGTGTGTCAGACATCTTGGACATAAGCCAGTAGGGCCTTATAGGTTTTCGACAGAATTTTGCATGGTGTCTGGAAACTGCAGTCAGTGCAGTAGTCACAAGGAGTATGAATCATGTCTCAGCTAATGCTTCCCTGCTTTAGAGCAGGGCTTCTTCCACTTTTCCACATGAAATCCCTTTCTGCCCAAGACATGTTTAGGTATATACAATTAGGTATATAAAATAAGCATAAAAATCAACATTTACTTACAACAAATCAGCATTTGCAATGCATGATAACCATGCCGATTTTCTTTTTTTATGAAATACAGCTGAAGTAACTTCTGTAGAGTCTACTATAAACACTGCATAACCAATGTGTGTTAATGTCTACAACGGTAACTTGGTGATGTTCAGAAAAAAAAATGGGACCCCAGCATTGAGCTACAGGGACCACATTTACCCACATTTGGATCCACAGTTTAAGAAACAGTGCTTTAGAGCCCCTAGCTGATTTTTGATAAATCTGTTAAATGTTTTGTTTTGTTTTAGGAGCAATTTGAGAAACTGCAAGTTGCTTCAAGTGTGAGAGAATTGGCCATCTGCAAGGACATTGCCCAGGAGATGCCTGGATGTTTTTTTTATGTTTTACCATCTTTGTGGGAGGCTTCTCTCATGTCCCCGCATGGGGAGCTGGAGCTGACAGAGGAAACTCATCCGTGCTCTCCCTGGATTTGAACCTCCGACCTGTCGGTCATCAGTCCTGCTGGCACAAGGGTTTAATTGCACCAATGGAGGCTCCTTGTTCCATGTTACATCAGTGATAACTTCTGCTGCCTACCTCTTTTTTCCTTATCAGAACTTCATATCTCTCTTATGTATAAACTTTCATGGAAGCTGTGACATGGGTTGCATTTTCAAGACCCTCCTTTTTCTTTTGGACTTTGCACCTGCATTTAGGTATTCAGGCTCACAATAATGGAAGTTAACTTCTTTACTGTGGCTATCAGCTCTGAGACACTTCTCTTCCCATAAAGTACCTGGTCAAAACAATTATCTAAAGGAGATATAAGCTAAATATTCCTTGTCTGGATTGTTTGGGACCAAAAATGTTTTGGATTTCAGGATAGCTGTATTTGCATACAGGACACAATAAGATCTTGGAGATGGAACCCAAGTCTAAACATGACATTCATGTATGTTTCATAGATACTTAAAAATATACAGCAAATGTAGTTTTATACAATATTTGTAATAATTTTGTGCATAAAACGAATTTTGTGTACACTGAACCATCAGAAAGTAACGGTGTCCCTATTTCAGTCACCGATGTGGTTTTCAATTATTTCAGGGTTCAAATTCTGGATAAGAGATACTCAACCTGTGCTCTTAAACCCCTTCTTTGCCCTCACTGAGAGATTAGAAGTCAAACAAGGCCTTCTGAAATGCCACAGCAGATAACAGTGGATATCAAAAGCATGGCCACATAGCCCATCCTTCTACATGCTTATACCGTATGTTAGGTTGTAACTCAGCTTGAATGTAGGATATACATTTTATGGAGACTCGGTATTTGTGTTAGCCATTAGCATTAAAATGTTTATAGTGAAAATTATCAAGAGCTGGTAAATATTAGGACCCATGTCACAGTGCACAGTATCTTGGTTTCTTTTTGAAAACATTTGCTTCTATTCTTAGTTTGGATCCATATCACAGGAAGTTTCTACGATTAAACAAATGACATGGGTGCTTACTAATCATATTAAAATAATATGCGGTATGGAGAAATAAAAAAAAAACGTGTCCCAAAATACCTAGTTTAAGGCTTTGCCAAGCTCGTAACTCAAGTTTCATAGAATGAAAACGCTAGAATAAAGAATTTGAGAGGTGTGCAAAATACTGTAATAAATCACTGCCCTTTTTACAGAAATGTAATAAAAATTAATCTCCTTAAAGTCACTCCAAACATTTAATATGCAAGTGTTTCAATACAACTGCTATTTTGGCATTTACTGCAAAGGTTGATTCTAGGGTGTACAAGGAGGGCTAATTTTATCAATTTGTTTAGTGTAGCTAGCTACTAGACATTTTGACATGGTTGGTAGTGAAGGGATTTTTAATAGAATCTCAGAATTCATCTTAAGTTAGTGATTTCCAAACCTTGAATCTTCCAAATGTTTTGGACTTCAGTTCCCAGAATTCCTGTTGACCAAACTGGCTGACACTTCTAGGTAAGTCCAAACTTTGGAGGTCCAAACTTTGGGATTGTCTAAAGTTTGGTAAAGAGACTTTATGGACACCCTGTATATATATATTTGGCTGGGTCCAAGATTCACCAGTCCATCAATCCAAGATTCTTCTCATTAGGTTTTCCCAAAAGTTGAGACATGCTTTTGGACAATTTTAAAAAAACATTTGAAATATGCTTTTCACCACTGCTGTGTGCATAGTTTAACATTTTTTTGTTCTGGTAATGCAACTGTTTGATACAAATCAAAAGAATACAGCTTATCTAACCAAATAAAAATCTTATTTTTTTATCACAGAATGCGTTAAAGGAGTGCTCATATACAAACTATTTTACAAATTCTAATGAAGATATGATCCCAAAGAGGTGACATTACATTTTACAATTTCAGAACACTGTTCAAGATTCTTCTTAATTCTGTAGAACTTTTCCACATATTCAGAACGACTCAAAAGTTCCACAAAATCTTCGTCATGTGTAATCACAAGTAGCTGAAAGTTTCGTTGCTGGGATCTACTTTTGATTATTCTGGGGGGAAAAAGGCATTTATTATGATTATGATTGTGTATATTGATTGATCGTTGAGCTGCTGTTAAAGATTTCAGGGTCACACTCAAGTAGAAACAGGCTGAATTCTTTTAAAATAATAATATTTTAAATAGACTAAAACCACATTAAGGAGTTTAAACATGTTTATAAGATTAAAATATTTAAAGTAAATCAGTGATGCATGAAAGGTTTTAATACAGTATATAGCCAAGTTTTTGATCGCCACTTAAATAAAATCAAGATAGGCACTAATCTGGTTTCTAAGAGGAGAGGGCATTCATTTCCCCATTAGGGAGCCACTACTGAGAAGGTCTCGCCCACATTATGATAAAGGTTGCTGGCCTTACTGGTAGGACACAGGAGAAGACCTCTTTAACATTACAACAATGGATAGATAACCAGAAAAGAAATTGGAAAGAGACTTGTTATTCTACCACTTTTTTAATTTAAAGGTTATTATCTGTTTTCAAAGGCTTTCATGTCCGGAATCATTGAGTTACTGTGAGTTTTCCAGGCTGTATGGCTATGTAACAGAAGCATTTTCTCTTGACGTTTCAACCATATCTATGGACGGCATCCTCAGAGGTTGTAAGACCTCACAACCTCTGAGGATACCTGCCATAGATGTGGGCAAAACATCAGGAGAGAATGCTTCCGGAACATGTCCATAGAGTCCAGAAAACTCACAGCAATCAAGGTTTATATAGTTTATCTTTTTCTTTACACAATACAACGGAACAAAAACAACACCCTCTTTCATAAAACCACTAATTGGGAAAGGTGTATGTGTTTGTACTATACTTCATTATTCCATTTCCTAATTTCAGGGGGAATGCCAGTCATGATGTTGCAAAAATAGCACAATTGTTGCCATTTGTTAAAAGATCTATTAGAATAAGGCGCAAAAAATCATGACAATTTTGACACCCCCCTCCCCCCCGAGCAAGATGGGGAAATTGGTCTGAGGAGACACTTACTCAACCAAAGCATGTGCAAGAGACTCAATATTCTCCCTGTCAAGGTTGGTGGTGGGCTCATCAAGGGCCAGAATGCCACAGTTGAGACAAAAAGATTCTGCTAGAGCAAGGCGGATAATGAGGGAAGCGAGCACCTAAAATCAAAAATAAGAGGTAACAAGTTAAAACACAAATGTTTTCAAGTGAACTGTGCTGACAACACTATTATTTATTTATTTTATTTCATACACTTGTACCCTGCCCTTCTCACCCAGGAGGGGCAGCTTCACACCAAGCACCATTCGGTGCCATCACAATCATAAAAACATTCAACAAATTCATTAAAACTACATTAAATAAACAGTTGTTAAGAACACGCCAGTTAAAACCAAAGTCCGGGTCAGTTCATTGTCACTTCTCACTTGCTGATATTCAATGAACAAACACTAGCCGGGAGGGGGCCTGGGGTGGGGGTTGAAATTGGCCTTGCGCATGTCTATCCTGCACAATGAATGAACTGTCATCAAAATAATGTTGTGTTACATACCTTTTGGCCTGCACTGCATCTGCCCCTCATGTCTAGAGCAGTGTCTCCTTTTATCATTACTACTCTGTAATTGTAGCTCCTCCTCTTGTCAGAAGCAGAAACATTCTCATCTGCATCAGATCGAATTTCGATGTATTCAATATCTACAGGAAAGAAAAATACAGTTGCATATTTTAGTTGTCAAAATGGCAGATTTGTTAACCTTATAACAATCTGAACACAATGTATCAGTTCATCCTTCCTTACTGAGGTAAGTAAGCTGTGCTAGGCCCAAACTTCCTTTCTTGGGTGATTGGTCAATAAACCTATGCTACTTATGAGTTTCCAGATAAGCATATGTATTGTGCTAAAAAAGAAAATGAAGATTTTTTTCCCCCTACAAAACTGCATTTGCATGTACAATACATATAATTTATTTTGCTCCTAGATAATAGGATGAGAAAAGAGCTAAGGAAGGCATAACCATAGGAAGCCTGATCCTTCTTTGCTTCTCCTGCTACAAAATTCCACAAAGTATTGTCCAGATATTCTTTATGCACAATAGACCATACAGATCTCGGGCTGAGACTCTTAGAATAGAAAATAGATCTCGATATCTCTCTCTCTCTCTCTCTCTCTCTCTCTCTCTCACACACACACACACACACACACACACACTAGGTTGGGGAATACCTTGTCCTCTGTAAGTACTCCGCCAAAGATCACGAATTGTTTTGTTGATTTCTTCCATTTTCATGCTGTGAAATGTCATTATTGCTCTAAGGGAATTTTAAAAAAAGAAAACCACAGTCATTTCTTGCTCACCTGAGCCTGGATGATTCCGTAATTCTGCAAACTTTTTTTCCTGTAAGCTATCTTGTGCCATTACAGAAAAGAAATATACAAGAAATACAAGACATATGCTGTAGTCCAGTGGTTTACAAAGTCTAGTCTTCCAGGTGGTTTGGATTTAAACTTCTAGAATTTAAACTCCTAGAAGCCTCCACTGCTTTGCCAATGAACAGGGATTTTGGGAGTCCAAAATTCCTGAAGGAGCCAAGTTTAGGAAATGCTGCTATACGCCAACGAAGTTTAGTGTGCCCGAAGCCTACTGATTTGAAAGGATGCAAATGTTTCCCATCCTGGGCTCTGTGGCCTTACCATTTAGCTCAATGGTTCTCAACCTGTGGGTACCCAGGTGTTTTGGCTTACAACTCCCAGAAATCCTAGCCAATTTAACAGCTGTTAGTATTTCTGGGAGTTGTAGGCCAAAACATCTGGGGATCCACAGGTTGAGAACAACAGACCAACCATAGACACAAAAAACAAAACAAACAAACAAGACCGTAACAAATAGTCTTTCTCATTAACAACATCTGATTGACCAAGTAAAGACCCTTATCCTTAAACAATAAAATAGAAATTACACCAGGAATACTGGAGTATTTTAAGGAATCAAATTAGCATATAAAATCTTAAAGAACTTACATGGATGCTAAAGCACAACTATAAATATAACAAGTTTTTAGAATTTATTTTGTGCAGGCAATATGCCAAGATTTAAACTTTACAAAACCAGAAACACAGAATTTAATTTCAACAAGGACTAGAAATGCATATTTGAAAGCACTTACAGAGAAGGGGAACCTCATACAGATGGAGAGCTGGCTGACACCAAGATGCATCATGCCCAGGCCCCTGATAGCCCTTTAGGTGACTCTGCCCAATTTCCGTCTTCTCCCACAGGAAAAATAATGGAGAAAGTAAAGCAGGTAATTGCTGTGAGCCCCTGACGCAGGGGTGCCTTCTCAATTTTACCTCAGGGCAGCCAAGAGACAAGGGTGGCAATGCATTGCTCCATGAACCCAATTCCCCCGCTTTGCTGCCATAGCTCAATGTTCATGTGAACCATTATGTTTAAGAGGTGGCTCCTATTCCCATGAAAACTGAATCCAAGCCTAATAAACCTTATTTGTGATGTATGCTGTCTTGTTAAGCCAGATGTTTTGTCTTAACATTTCAACATGGGGTTTCATCACTGTATGTATAAAATACAGATGGGAGTACAAGAAAATCTCTGAATTTATGTACATCAGAAATTATGGTAACACAAATCCAGAACTTTAATGTTTTGACTGCTATCAGAAAGTCAGTAATAAGGTTCTAGTAAGGGGAGCTCCAATTAGTTTTTAAATTTTATTTATTTATTTATTTATTTGGAAGATTTCTATACCGGCCTTCTCACCTCAACCGAGGGACTCAGGTCGGTTTACAGCATATATGCAATTACAAAGTATACAAATACAACCGGGTGCAACATCATTAAGAATTAAAAACAACACAATAAAATACAATAAAACATCATCATTACAATTACCCAGGCCAAAACGTCAATACAATCGCAGTCGTAGTCGTAGTCACAGTTCATTAAAGATTCAGTCCTCAAAAGCCACATTCCAGAGCCAGGTCTTTAGTAATTTCCTGAAAGTCAGGAGGGAGGGGGCAGATCGGATCTCTAGTGGAAGGGAGTTCCAGAGCCGGGGAGCCACCACCGAGAAGGCCCTGTCTCTCGTCCCCACCAAGCGCGACTGTGAGGGTGGTGGGACCGAGAGCAGCCCCCCCCCCCAGAAGATCTTAATAGCCTTGATGGTTCATAGGGGAGAATCCGTTCGGACAGGTAAACTGGGCCAGAGTCGTTTAGGGCTTTATAGGTCAAAACCAGCACTTTGAATTGTGCTCGGAAGCTAATCGGCAGCCAGTGGAGTTCGAGTAACAGCGGAGTGGTGTGCTCCCTGTACCCAGCCCCCGTTAGTAATCTGGCTGCCGCCCGTTGTACTTGCTGCAGCTTCCGGGCAGTCTTCAGAGGCAGCTCCACGTAGAGAGCGTTGCAGTAATCCGTTAAACACCTTAATGAGACTACGTACACAGATTGCCAGATTGCCAGAAAACATATGGACACTTGGAACTTCCCTTGCCTGTGGCAATAATACCAAAGATAAAAATGGCAGAGATAACGAAAAATTACAATTTTGCATGGAACTTTTTTAGTCTCCACTATAACGAGGAATATTGCTTCGTATTCTTGGCGGCTTTCATGGCTGGAGTCATTGGAGTGTTGTGTGGTTTTTGGGCTGTATGGCCGTGTTCTACCAGCATTTGACGTTTCACCTGTATCTGTGGCTGGCATCTTCAGAGGATCTCTAGAACATGGTCATACAGCCCGGAAGCCACACAACACCCCAAATATTGCTTTCATTATCCTTATTAGTTATATTTAGTCACAGCTTCCGCTATAATAAAGATTTACAAAGCAGCTCTCCATCAGATAATATCAGACATCCTTAATGTTGAGTCATGGTTATTTTTGCTGCTGAACAGAGATGCATACTTAGGTGCATCAGATAAGAACAGAGAAAGGATATGAAGAGAAAAAGAAGTAAAGTTGCCTGTTATCATGGGCGGAAAAAAACCCAGTGGCAACAAAAGATGCTTTATTTGAGAAAGGAATAGAAAGACTAATATCAAATTTCCTTGCATCATAACAGTTACCTCTTTCCGTGCTGTTTTTTAATCTACTCTACATACGCATGAACAAGTCTAGAATTGTATTGTTGAACGCTTTCATAGCCGGAATCACTGGGTTGTTGTAAGTTTTTCGGGCTATATGGCCATTTTCTAGAAGTATTCTCTACTGACATTTCGCCTGCATCTATGGCAGGCATCCTCAGAGGTTGTGAGGTCCTCACAACCTCTGAGGATGCCTGTCATGTATGCAAGTGAAACTTCAGGAGAGACTGCTTCTAGAACATGGTCATATAGCCCGAAAACCTACAACAACCTAGTCTAGAATTTTAGTCAAAATCTGACCCCCTCGCCCCCAAACTTATCTACGGGTCAATGTAAACACTACTTGTTACTACTTAACAAAAAAGGAGCCATGTCTTCTCTGTGGAGAATGGTGACAGGTGGGAACTTAGTCCATCCTGGGAGAACTTAAAAAGCATCAACCTCTTTTAATCTCTCTGCTGCAGCATCACCTCTGGCCTTTTTTGAATGCCTGAATGTCTCATGCACAGTTGGTGGGGATGAGGCCTTCTCAGTGTCCCCCCCCGTCCCCCCCCGTCTCTGGAACTTCCTCCCTAGGGAGATCAGACAGGCTTCCACTTTGTCCTCTTTCCAGAAACAACTAAAAATCTGGATGTTCTGGTGTGCTTTTGATTAAGCAGTCCACCATTAATTTTCCTGTCCCTACTCTAAGTATAGCACTTTATGTCGGCCTTCCTATTGTTTGCTTCAACACTTTGGATGACAGCCCTGTCTATTTGATTGCTGCACTTTCCTTGCCTCCAGTTCAGAATGTATTGCACTCAGTGAGTCTGTATCTCAGCTGTATTCTTTTCTCAGCCTTAAGGTTTTATGTTCTGATGTTGTTTATTACTTTGTTGTTTTTATATTTTATCTGATGTTTTATCAATTGTGTTTTACTTGTAATTTTGGGCTTGTCCCTTGTAAGCTGCCCCGAGTCCCCTTGGGGAGATGGTTGGCGGGGTATAAAAATAAAGTTATTATTATTATTATTATTATTATTATTAATAATAATAATAATAATAATAATAATAATAATAATAGAAAAATGGTGGCAGTGGCTTTTATACAGGTGGTCAGTGCTTCTTTTTTCATAAGATTTAATATAAAAATGTAGCTTTCATCAAAAAAGAGGAACCCAAATCTAAATGACAAGAATGAGCAACTTTGAGAGGGTTTGCGTCAGTTTATTACATATGCACCTGAATCGACCAGGGACTTTACCACTGACTGAAAACATATATGACTAGAAGACGAAATTTTTTTAAAATCCCTTGAAATACCTTGACCCAGGAGGCATCTACGGACAAGGCTCTTCGGCTTAGAAATGGAAATGAGCACCATCCCCTAGTGTCTGACACGACTAGACTTAATGTCAAGGGGAAACCTTCACCTTTACTTTATAAGAAGACCAAAAGCTGTATTTCTACTTTGCTTAATGCACCACTACATGCAAAAACCTTTTATACTGGCCACCATAAAATGCATTTTGTGATGCCTGGCACGTTTGACTTAAAAGATCTTCTGGTGTAAATAAATAAATAGAGCCAGTGTCTGCTCAGGCTGAATTAGTGCCAACAATGCCTTAGCTACACTGTCTTGCTGCTTGCTGTTATATTTAAGTTAAGAGACTAAAAAAAGAGAAAACAAATATATTCAATACCTCAAAAAATAAATAGATTATAATTTCAGCGATCAAGAACTTAAGTTTTCCTTTAGGCAATTTAAGAGAAGAAGGATTAATAGTTACCAAACAGACTCTATTTAGAGCTCCAAGTACTTGAGTGGTAGTTGTACAGATGTGCCATTTGTCTCTAATCTGATCTGAATACAAGAGGGCACTGGGAATGGGAAATACAGAGTCAACTGCTTATTGGCCATGTAAAGAACGTATTTCCTTTCCTTCAATTATTTGTGTTTAGGAGTACAAGGCAAAAATGGAAAAAAGTTTCAAAAATCGAATAGATATGTGCTGCCTCAATGACCGGTAGGAAATTTAAAGTTGTTTGCACCCAACACTTTTTTACAGCTCCCTGAAACATATACTCATAAGTATACAACTGATGCAAACATTTTTGAAGTTATTTTGTAATGGAAAGATCACCTCCTGCAAACTATAACAATGATACAATAGTATACTCACTGATCTAGAGCTTTGTAGTAAATGTCAAGATCCTTGTTTGCCAGTTCTGTTGTTCTCATAACTATCATCATTTCTCTGTATTTCTCTTCAGCATCTTTAAACTGCGGATCTCTCAGCTCTTTCTTATACCTAAGGATCTCTTCCTCAAATCCATGCTGACGGCCAAGGGCTAAGCTGTGGTTTCTTTTCAGTTCTTCTATTCTCCCCTCTAAATGCTCACGGTCTCTGTCAAATAAAAGTCAGTGTGTGATTTTATGATTTTTGTATGGTACTCATGCTTATGAAGCAACAATATTTTCTTTAAGGAAACAAGAGAAAAAACAACAGCACTATTGTTGTCATGAATGTTATAATACCAAGGCTGGAATATCTCTAGAGTTTAAGAAAAAGCCAAGCCCCTTGCCAAGCCCCTTCACTGGGCTCTACCATTTATATCCCTGATCCTCACGTTTTAAAGTTTTAAAAAACTTGCTTCATTAATTTTATTTTAAGTATGAATACATCCACATTTGCTCCAGGAAGCAGTTTTTTCAGTCTGTTTTATGCCCAAGAGGGACAATTATTTACTCAGATAGTAAGCTGCAAAGTTAAGTGGGGAACAGTAACCTCAAAAATTGCCTTTAATGACAATACTTTTTCACCACCCTTGATTTAAACAAACATTTAAGATACTAAGGAAGCAGTAGGTTACTTTCCATTCTCAACAGAGGAGAATGAAATGCCTGATCAACAATGTCTACAATGGATATAAAAGGCAATGATATAAACACCACTCTTCTATAGCCTGAGTGACTGTTATTTACTTCTGAAAAACACACACTGTGGAGATACAAGGACCTTAATGAGAAGTAAAAATACAGTCATGGATACACAGAGTTTATCACCACTCTGGTCATTATTTATTATGGCTTCATTATTACAGTTGTGGAGTTTGGGATCCTGTGACATCAAAATATAAACAAGAGGGGGAAGTGGCAGACACTGGCTTTGAAATTGTCAAGCACGGCCTGGAGTACTGGCCTATCAGTGGTAATCAGCCATAACACATGAAGAGGAGGCAATTCAACATTAAAGGAAGCACATCCCTGAATATCAGCTCTTGAGGGCAACCAACACGAAGAGAACAGAAAATATGCAAATAAGCTGAGACTTATGCTTTGCACTTAAGAAACTGATTTATTTTAAAAGGAAGATAAGAATATACTTTTTCAGCTGCGGAACATGCATTTCGCCCATCTCCTTCCGATATTGCTTTATGTTATCTTCAACTTCTTTTAGATCTTCATTTCTTTTTCTTAAAGTAAGATTATCTTCTAACCACCGTTCCTGAATCTAAATTCAAACAAAATACATTACTGAATCATTTTCCATTATTTTGTATCACTTATAGGCATAAAGCATGGGCTTTAGTTAAAAATTTAACAACACAAAACCTAGAAGAGTTTCATCACATCTTACAGTTGTATAGGTAAAGATAAAGGTTTCCCCTTGACATTAAGTCTAGTAGTGCCTGACTCTGGGGGTGGTGCCAATCTAAGCGGAAGAGCCGCCGTTGTCCGTAGATGCCTCCAAGGTCATGTGGCCGGCATGGCTGCATGGAGTACCATTACCTTCCCGCCGAAGCAGTACCTATTGCTCTACTCACATTTTGCATGTTTCTGAACTGCTAGGTTGGCAGAAGCTAGGCCTAACAATGGGAGCTCACCCTGCTCCCCGGTTTGAAACCATCAACATTTCGGTCAGCAAGTTCAGCAGCTTAGTGGTTTGACCCGCTGTGCCACCAGGTTATACAGTTGTACACTGATATCTTAATCAATTTACCTTATATGGCTAAGGTAAAATCACACACCCACTTACCTTATTCAATTAAACAGAGCTTACCTCCAGGCAGATATATAAACTTTTAAAAGAAAATCTAAGAAAAACCAATCCAGAGAATGGTCTGGATTGGATGTAAAGATAAATCAGAATGATTCGATATGAGCACATTCACTGTGCCATGCACTTTGGCTCTTCTTATCAGCAGGAATAATTAAAGAAACTGGGAAGCCTCTTTCCATTGTTCATTTAGCATTATCTCTGAACTGCCACCTTTGTCTTTTTCCATTTCTAACAAGACAGATTCATAATCTAAAAACAACCATCGCATGAAGAAACCATGCCTTATAGTTCTCAAGCTTCTTAAGACAGCAACAATCTACTAATGATGGTATGGACACAAAACTAACACAGAAGGCTTCCTAAGTTTGGAGAAGGAATCAAATTGCAACCATCAATCTGCTCAAAGAAGCCCTACAGCCAATATGCAATAAGAATAAAGCCCAGACTTTATTTAGATTTTAAGAATAGTTTTTTTAAAAAAAATTAAGAATTTTTATTTAAGAATAGTTTATTTATTTTTCTTTGAAAATCTCCATATTAATAAGATTTTAGCTTTCCTTTGTTGCAAATTGCCTTGGGTCCCATTCAGAGAGAAAGATGGATTTACATAAAATAAAATATGTACATAATATAATATGTTAAATTCCATACCACAACACACCAATGCTCAGTACTAACTCAGAAGTAGCAGTTACTTGTAACAATCTTCTTCTCAAGTTAACCAAGGTTGTTCCTGACACATAGTGAATAGCAACAAAGTAATATCTCTGCTCACTGCTGCTCATTTGGGCAACAGGGCCGAGTTATTAGTTGCCTCGTCTATGATTGAGGGATTACTAAAAAAAAAAAAAAATTAAAAGAAGGGTCTTGCACAATTTTAGCCACCACTGAAAGTATTTCTGGCAAGATACAGCATCTTTTTTCCAAGTGAAAAAAGAAATAGCCCTGTGGCTGCCTCATACAGATTCCACTCCCCTGTTCCCCTCCACTTCCCTATGAATAACAGAATCTTAATATACTGACTAATGTAGCATGTTCTTCAAAAACTCCTAGAAAAGATGCTATTTGGAGCTTGTTCTTAGCAACAGAATGAAAGCAGGTACCATACTATGCTTAAAAAACACCCAGAAAACAGAGGAATTCCAGACAGCTAACACCTCCCAACAAAGGATTCCCCCAGGCAGGAGGCAGGCAGGCTTTGAAACTGCAAGGCCATTAAGTGCTAATCAAGGTCGCCAGCTGCAACATTCACATTTGCCTCAAGCAGACAAGAGTTCTTTCTCCCACCCTGGACATTCCACAGATATATAAACCTCACTTGCCTAGTTTCCAACAGACCCCTCAACCTCAGAGGATGTCTGCCATAGATTTGGGCAAAACATCAGGAGAGAATGCTTCTGGAACATGGCCATACAGCCCGGAAAACTCACAGCAACCCAGTGATTCCAGCCATGAAAGTCTTCAACAACATGATGAGTGATTTGTTTAAGAAAGAACCATATGTAGGTGAACCTCCAATTTTAGAAAGAAAGTGAAGTGGAATATGCACACAGGACCCCTGAGAGAAGTAAGCCATAACAAGAGAGCAACTTCAAATAGAATTACTGACATTGTAACTAAATTTTGTCAACAAACGTGGTAAACAATAGTCCACAGGTTGGAAGTGTTTGCTATACATTGCAATCCCCAAGAAAGGGTACGTGAGGAATTATTAATAAACATGCTTCCCCAACACTCAATGTTGAAGCCATCCATCCTTAATTTGTAAAATTATTTGGGCATGATGATTAAAAGCTACCTTTTGAGTATCAATGTCTTGTCGAATTGTTCCAGTTTCTTTATTTATCTTCTCTTTCTTTCTCTCACATTCTTCTAGCTGGACCTTGACTTCATCAAGTTCAGATTCCTTTTGCTATGAAAGAGGAGGGAAAACACGTTTTTATTTAAGCAGAAATTATTATGCTATTATTTATTTATTTATTTATTTATTTGCTTTACTTCTATACTGCTTTTCTCAGCCGGAATGGCGACTCAAAGCGGTTTACATACTACAAGTTATCACAACAATATCAAAAGGCAATTAAAACACATTATGCAAGACATACAGATCAAAACAATCATTATCCTAATCGTAGCACCTCAGCAACAAATCAGAATCAGAATCCGTAATCATAATCCTTATACCATTTCCTATGTTCGATTGTACCATCTTCCTGTACTCCATTGCACTGTTTAGCCAAATGCTTGTTCGTAAAGCCAGGTCTTGACCTTCCTCCGAAATGCCAGCAGCGAAGGGGTCTGTCTGATGTCTACAGGTAGGGCATTCCACAGCCGAGGGGCCACCACTGAGAAGGCCCTGTCCCTCGTCCCTGCCAAGCGCGCTTGTGATGCGGGCGGGACCGAGAGCAGGGCCTCCCCAGACGATCTTAATGTCCTAGTCGGTTCATAGGAGGAGATGCGTTCGGAGAGGTAAGTAGGGCCAGAACCATTTAGGGCTTTATAGGCTAAAGCCAGCACCTTGAATTGTGCCCGGTAGCAGATTGGCAGCCAGTGGAGCTGGCGCAACAGAGGAGTGGTGTGCTCCCTGAGTGCCGCTCATTTTAGCAACCTGGCTGCCGAGCGCTGGACCATTTGAAGCTTCTGAGCAGTCTTCAAGGGCAACCCCACGTAGAGAGCGTTGCAGTAGTCTAAGCGGGATGTAACCAGAGCGTGGACTACCGTGGCCAAGTCAGACTTCCCAAGGTACGGGCACAGCTGGTGCACAAACTTTAGCTGTGCAAATGCTCCCCTGGTCACCGCCGAAACCTGGGGTTCCAGGCTCAACGATGAGTCCAGTGTCACACCCAAGCTGCGAACCTGCGTCTTCAAGGGGAGTGCGACCCCATCCAACACAGGCTGTAACCCTATACCCTGTTCGGCCTTGCAACTGACCAGGAGTACCTCTGTCTTGTCTGGATTCAATTTCAATTTGTTCGCCCTCATCCAGACCGTCACAGCGGCCAAGCACCGGTTCAGGACCTCCTCCTTAGTAGCAGGTGGAAAGGAGTGACAGAGTTGGACATCATCCGCGTACAGATGACACCGTACCCCGAAACTCCGGATGATCTCCCCCAGCGGCTTCATGTAGATGTTAAACAACATGGGAGACAGTATTGAGCCCTGAGGAACCCCACAAGACAAAGGTTGTGGGGTTGAACAGGTGTCTCCCAGTAACACCTTCTGAGATCGACCCTCTAGGAATGACCGGAGCCACTGCAAAACAGTACCTCCAAGACCCATCCCCGCGAGGCGTCCCAGAAGGATACTGTGGTTGACGGTATCGAAGGCCGCTGAGAGGTCCAGCAGCACCAGCAGGGACACACTCCCCCTGTCGAGCTCCCGTCGCAGATCAGTTGCTAGTCTGTCGTAGGGAAAAAAAACACACTTCCTTCCCAATTTATCTACTGTCTGTCTGTCTGAGTTTCAGGCAAACATTTCTTGTACCTGACGAAGGAGGCACGAGTAGCTGACAAAAGCTTATATGCTAAGACATTTCTTTATCTTTGATACCATAGAGTTTTTGCTGATTTTCAATTACAATTAAAATCTTAGAAAGTCTATAGTTTCTTTTTACAATTACCTGCTTGTATTCTTCCTTTCCTTCTTTGATGTAATTTTCAATCTCTTTTATGTGGCAGTTGATGTTTCTAACCTTGTCTTTAATGTCATTTATCTGGGAAAACATGTAAGAAAGATTTGCTAACAATAAAAACATAGATTTAAGGCATCTCATGGTTTAAGCAAAGCAAACTTAAAATTATCACATTTTCGCACCTTACTAAATAATACAGCAACTTTTAAAAAAACACTGTTAAGTTTTAGTTAGATGGCTTTGTGTGAAAGAAACAAAGTGTTCCCCCTTCAAAATAGGCCTCCTATGTTGCTACTATGGACAGCCAGAGGTCTGTATGGCAACCTTGGGGATGAGAAATAAAAGGGACTTAACATGTACTGTTAATATGTTAACAGCAGCAAAAATTTTATATGCTCAAAGCTGGAAAATGGCAGAGATGCCAACTGCAGAAGATTGGACAGTAGATACAACGTAGTACAAAAAAGGGCAGACTTTGAATTCAGAAATCATCACTTAATATTAGAATCCTCTACCTTGTGCGATTGCGGAGCAGAACAAACAACTCAGCATCTGTATGCTTGCCCACAATGCCCTACCTCACGCACAGAGGAACAACTTTTTAAAGCTACAGACAATGTGGTCACTGTTGCCTGTTTTTGGTCTAGAATTATTTAACTGCTTGTGTTCCCTCTATTTTATTAGTTTTATACTTGTTTATTTAAGCAATGCTTTTGACATGATATAAATAAATAAATAAGAACTCACAGTCCTCCTGGTTCAAAATATAATTTAACACATGCAGGGACTTACTTTGTTACTGGTTTGACTGAAATATCTGGAAATCTACAAGTGGATCTACCTTCTGGTCACCTTAGCCACAGATATATAGAGTGTTACAGTACTGGCAGGGGTTATTTTTTCTATCCCTTTTCTTATAATCTCTATAAAGATTTTTTTTTTCATAGCGGCTGCACACTGAGTCAATATATTCACTGAATTATATCCAAAAGTTCAAGCTGCCCCTCAGTTTTCACCACTGTACTGGCTTTTTGGACATGGAGCCTCACTTCAGGGCAGGAATGAAAATCATGCTCCTGGAGGACTGCAACTCCAAGCATCCTTTGCCACTATTATGGTTGTTACCAGTCTGGGATTTGCAATTCAACATCACCTGGAGGCTCACACCTATTTTATGCTTGTTTATATTCAACTTGCTATTTTGCTGATCATTCAGATACACTCAGATCACTAGCTACAAGAATATCAAATTTCCAAACAGTCAAGCTACCTAATACTGGTTGTCTGCATATTTTGGGATTCACTCAAATCCACAACAAGATACACCTTTAACTGGGAAATGCCTACAAGAAGCAGCTATATAATTTTAGCTAACCAACTCAGGACAGGTGATCTAACCTTTTCCTGTGTTTCCCTGCAACTTGTGTTCTTTTTGTTCATCAGTGTTTCTTTTTCTTGTTGCAGCTTTATTAAAGTTGTTTCCAAAGGGGAGATCTGCTCCTTTGCTTCCTGAAAATGAAATAAAAACAATCCTGTATTCATTTTACTTTACCAGGTTGTTTCTTTTCTTTATGAATGCACATTATTGTATTATCCATGACTTGGCAATTTTTAATTAATTCTTCCTCTCACCTTGATTTCCCTGTTCATTGACTGCACCTCAGTCGTCAGCTCCACCGTCTGGTCTTCCAGTTGCTGTCGACGCTGCAAACGGCTACAGAGTTGAAGTTTCTCTGCTTTCAGCTCATTCACTGCACTCTTTAGACTCTGGATCTGGCTTTGCTGATCTTGTTTAAGAGTCTGCTTCAATTCAATTTTGCCAGTAACTGAAAACATAAAATAAGGGAGGTATGTTGCATAAATTGGGAGGTGACTGATTGAATAAACAACAAAAGGGGGTGTAAATACAATTTACATAACAGGATGAAATCAGATTCAATAACAATGACAACAACAACAACATTTATTTTTGTACCCCATCTCCATCTCCCAAAGAGACTCGGGGCAGCTTACATATAGCACAATGTGCCTAAAACAACGCATAGAATAAACACACAGTACAATACAAGATAAAACTAACAGCATATAAAACAATAACTTAAACTCAAAACAGGGCCCAGTATCAGCACTGGACAGTATAACTTTTCATTAGTAAAATTGAAAAACCATATGAAATTCATAGGTCAACAGGCAACTTGAAGGCAGCACATGTTTTCTGTGGAAAACAGGTAGACCTGAATGGCTTAGTAATGCAGTAGCAAGGGTTAAGAACTAAGACAAGGATAGACTCCAAGGTACTTTACATGATCTGAACCTTTCTTGTTGTTCACAGTACAGGTTATAATTAATTAGCAGATGATTATCCACATTATTCAAGTACTCTATGCAAAATAAAAGTTAAGAATTCAAGCAGATACCACCTTTGATTTACAATAATAAGGAAATAAATAATATTATTTAGATCAATGGCAAGCATTAAAACAAACAGTAAACGGTAAGTAAAACATAAGATTAGGCATTAAAATACAATTTTAAAAGCAGAGTTAAGAAACAATATTGAGGATGAGAGTTAAAAGCAGTATTAAATATTTGTATATTTAAATAATAGTGATAAAAGCTGTGATAAAATAATAGTACCTTTTAAGATTGTGACAGCATCTTGTGCTGGCAAGCTATTGCTGCTGCACAAAAACTAGAAACCTTGACTATAATTTCAAAATACTGATCAACCAAAAGATAATCAATATAAAACTTTTCAGGTCTCTCTGATATACTTTGTAAAATTGGGTTTAAAAAATGTTGCTGAAAGCCTTGATAGAAAGAGCAGTAAAACAAATCAAATAAAAAAATTAATATTTACCATTACAAGTGAAGAATTAAAACTACTCTTCACTTGTAATGGTAAATTCTCAGATGATATTAAATTGATATGATTCATTTTTATATATACCTATTTGTAACAGAAATTATAATTAGCCAAAATGTAGCTATTTAATTTTTAGAAACCTGACAAAACTTTTCCCTGTTATTTGAAAATATGGGCAGTCTCTGAGTTACAAACATCCGACTTCCAAATGACTTATAGTTAAGAATGGGGTTGAGACAACAGGAAATGAGATAAATCTACCCTCAGAAGGGAAATTCACTCCTGAAAGAGTTAATTTCCCTTCTGTTATGGGGGAGGGTCTCTCGACTGGAGCTTTATTACCAATCTTTGTTTCCACAACAAGTCACATTTTTCAAAATCCAATTCTCACAGGGACAGAAAGTGAGGTGAAACATTCTGAATTGGGGCACAGAGTGCCCCACAAACATTATGTTAACGCTTCCCTATGCTACATACATACATATACATATATATATTGGGTGGAGATACACTTTAAAATGTACCTGTTCTGACTTACAAATTCAGCTTCAGAACAAACCTAGAGAACCGATCTTGTTCGTAACTTGGTTTTAAAGACAGATAAATGGTGACCAATAGCCATAAGGGATCACTTTCCAAAGAGTGCGGAAATCACAACAGTCAACATGTGACCTTTTCATGCCAATACAGAAATAGACTGTAATGTTTTGGTTATACAGGAAACCCTAGAATTAAAGATCCGATAGTACCTGTGTCCCACTGATGCTTTTTCTCTTGCTTTTCCTGGCTCACTTGTAGAAGTGTCCGACCTAAATCCACACCCTCCAGCTTAGTAGCATGCTGAGCAATTTTTCTCTCAACATCCCTCAGATCAGTCTGAAAAATACGAACAACAGAAAACACTAGTATTTCTGGACAAACTGAAATCACATTTTGAACTGAGATGTCAGGTCCACTGCAGGCACAAGTGATCATATGTGATATTTCAATGGGACTTTTTTGCCAAAATCCTAGCATTCACTGCATCTATCATGGGGGGTAGATGAGATATGTGTGTGTCTCCTATGTGTATCCAAGCATTTGCGTGAGTTGACTAAGCAGAGAAGGAAAAGCCAGGTGGGGAAACAGACTTTCCCAATGTGTGTTGCCACTTCATGCAAGCAATGCATGAATGAGCTTTAGTGTGCAGCCTTCTTTATTTGGCAATATGTGGTTTTAAAGATAGTTAAATGGTGCCCAGAAGTCTTACCTGATATCTTTCCATTAGTGTAATATCTTGGAGACATGCTTTAGCACTTTCTTCCTCAGGCATGATAGTCGCCAAGAGCGTTTCCTGCTCTTCTATTTCACCCTTAAGACGCTGGATCTCTCTGTTGAGAGACTGCAGCTTGTTCCTTAAGTCCGGTATGTCCTTTTCTTGGAGTTCAGATATGGTTTTCCTTACCACGCATTCACACACAGAGAGAGACAGAAATCTCATTATTTTCCTTCGGTAACAAAATCAGTGCTTCATAATAAGTAGCTGTGCTTGGATTCACATGGACTCTAATTTAGCTTATAACATTTATCATACAGAAATGAGCAGTATAAGCGTTCCTTCAAAAACACCAGGAGTCCACCCAAGGTAATTTTGAAAGGGGCCAATTCTCTCAAAATGTTGTTGGTCTCTTCCATACCCCAAAATGCGAAACTCTGTCTCACCTGACAGGTTTGAGTGACATCATTTCATCCCGTCTCTTCTCTCTCCTCTTAAGCTCTGACTCCGTTGTCTTCAGTTTGTCTGGAGCAAGGCGCAGTTTCTTCTGAAGATCATCGATCACTTCCTGCAGTTCTGACTCTGTTGCAAAGACCCTTTGGCAAACTGGACAACAGGACTGGTTTTCATCTGTTAATTGTGTGATGAATTGCGAATACACTGCCGTGGCCCCAGCAAGCATGGCTGTTTCAAAGTTGGGGGGGGGGGGRGAGAATCACATTGATTTGAGATGTATTCTAATATTTACCTTGTATATGTTTTAACTGTATCACTTTTTAAGTTGTTAGGCACTTTGTGTCCTAATCCTTGGAAAAAGTGGGGAATAATAATAATCATGCAATATTAAGAAGAAAAAGAGAAGGCAGCACTTTATGAAATTGGTTTACAATCAAATAAAAAAGGATCAAGTAAATAAATTGTAGCAATGAAGCATTAAAAGTATCAAACCAATTTAACCACATACACGTAAGTAGCAAGCATTTGAATAAACAGTTACCAATAGATCCCAGAAAAACAGTAACATTACAGAACAAGGCTTTTTTAGTCTAGTGCCTGAATGATATTGGTGCAGATTCCTCATAAATCCTTTATAACTCTTTAACTAACATAAAGGGAATATTCTCATTTCAGGAGGGACCATTTAGCACAGTGATTCTCAACCTATGGGCCCCCAGATGTTTTGACCTTCAACTTCAAGAAACCCTAGCAGCTGGTAAACTGGCTGGGATGTCTGGGAGTTGTAGGCCAAAACACCTGGGGACCCACAGGTTGAGAACCACTGAGCAGGATCCAACAGTGAAAGTCTGGCAGAAGTAGAAGGGAAGATGCTCTCTCCTGCTTCCACCCTTCAGTGTAAAACATGTTTCCCAACAGGATTTAGATATGCCAGAGGGCTGCTGGGAGGGAGAGATCTGCCGATACTGCTAGGGTCACATTGAATCAAACCAATGAGGAAGTCTGGCATGTTTTAGAACTGCAAGGGAAAGCATGAGATAATTTCAGCTTTATGTCAGGTACAAAATATTTAGTGCGATTATAATTATTAAAAAGGAAGAAGTCAGTATCATATATCTGAGTTAAAAAAAATACATCATGTGAATTTAAAACTGAAACAGAGTATTGCAAAAAACAAACCCCAAAACCAAAACCCTGTAGAAAAATAGAAGCTAACCTCGCTGCTTGGATGTTTTTTCAATGTCTTCCAGAAGTCTATAAAGATCACTTTCAAAATCCTGGCTTCCACAGACATCAAAAAGCTGTTCTTCATAACTGGACAGCTGCTCTTCTTTCTTCCTTAATTCAGTGCTAATATGATTTTTGTTTTGCTCGACTGAAACAAGTTCTTTGCTGAAATATAAGTATTGTTGCAATCAGAAATTAGGTGGGATTATTCTTGCCATTTGAGTTTTTAAACTTTTTATGTAAAAGAAAACCCTGGCTAAATATTTTAATCCTTTCTTTTAGTATGTAATAAAAATATTGAGCTATAGGTTTGCTGCATGTCAGCCTGGCATGGAGATTTGAATGCTGGACACTGAAAGACCAGGACTCAAATTCCCACTAGACAATGGAAAAGCATTGGGCAAGCTTTGGTCAAACGCACTTTCTCAACCTCAGAGGAAGGCAAGCTCAAACTCCCTCATGACAAATTCTGCCAAGATAATCTAGTGAAAGATTTCCCTTAGCCATTAGTCAGAAATTATTTGAAGGCACACAGCAACACTTCAGATAGAATTGAAAAGCATCTACATAAGTAAGAAACAAAAAGGAGACAAGCTTCAAATGCTAACTGATGGTCACCCTGTTTTAGCCTATATGAGGAAAGGAATTCTTCATGGTAAAAAACAGAATATGTACAAATCTATGTTACATTTTATAAAAGAGACAAAAACACTCAATTAACCATATCTTATTTTAAAAACACAAGGTAATATTATTATTCATAACTGAAGCATTCACACCAGTCAACAAAAATCTCTGAAATTGTAGAAAACACTCTCCAGAAGGTCTGACCAGTAAGTATTAAAATAGCATTACTACTTCATAGACCAACCCTTTGGAGAGTGTTGCCTGTAATTTTGGAGATTACTACGGAATTATATCTACACTTTTGATTTGAAAAGTACCATAGTTTAATAGCATGCATGCTTTTGATATGAAAAATAACATTACCTTGTGTGTTTTTATATATGTTTAATTTAGTGTTGTAATGTCTCTTAATACTGTTAACAGCCCAACAAAAAAAGTTATTGGTGTCTTGGTTTTTAGACCTGTTCATGGGGTTATTCGGGGCACTGATTCAGAAAATTGCATTAGATAGACTATATCAGCACTAATTACTTAGATATGGTTATCATGGTTATCTATGGGCGATCAGATGATGACTGGAGCAGATGATGATCATCTGTATCTCAAAACCTTGCGCTGATGGAGGGAACTGGTGCCATTTTTGGAATCAGCAGGTCAAATATACCCAGAAACAAGACTAACATTTGAGGCACCAAAATGTGTGTTGGCCACTGATAGATGGATATTTATGTTGTTTTTAGCCTCTGAAGAAAAGAAGTCCTATCGTAGCAAAATTCCATCAAATATGGTAACTGGTCAAAATAGAGTACTTCTCACTATTCAATACACTGAAGCCCTGTTTTATTAACCTTTCTCCAATTTATTTCTTTTCTGTAAAATCCAAGGAAGAATCCAGTGTCTCCTCATGTTTACTATTCTATTATATTTCAGAAGACATAGATGCAAATTAGAGGAGGAGAGCTGCTTGGTTTCACATGTCATGTGGCACAAACCATGGACAAAGAAAACTCGCTTGCAGCTCCAGCGTGGTTGACACACACACAAATATCTTGTCACATCATGTAAATGCATTTGATCTCTAAGAACCTGTGCTTTATAAAAAGGGTAGAACGCGAGGGGAGTTTAAAACAAAAACCTTCTGTCCATAATCTGACAAGGAAAAATGATAAATAAATATTTACACCCTGCAACCATCTCTTTGAAGGGACTTGGGGCAGCTTAAATTGGGACCAAGCCCAACATACAGCAAAATTTACCAGCTAAAGCATAGTAACATATAATATAACATAAACAAACAATTGATGTCAAGGAATGCATCGAACTACACAACAATCAAAGTACAATAACATGGGGGGGGGGGGTGTTTGAAGAAATATGCCTTTCAAATTGCACTGGCATGGGACAAAGCTCAACAAAATATCTACAGGCAACATTCTGGTTGGTGAATGCCAATGTGTCTGACCATCCCCTCTATCAGTTACCCAAACCGCAAACGCCCTGCAAGTCTCTTTCTCCCTATCACTTTAACATCTCTCTTACGTCCGTCTGCATTTTCCACTTCCTTCCTCTACAGCCTTACACCCTTCTCATGTCTGCCCCACTTCCTTTCTCAAAGTCCTGTTCTGATTGCTGAAGCTCTATACAGGCAGAGCATGCAGTATCTTGAGAACTGTCCCTATCCACATAAACCCGCTTCACCTTTGGAGATCTTCTATCAAAGCCCTGCTTTATCCTCCCCCAGGACTGCAGCCAGAAGCACAATTGGTGGCAAGACCTCACTTCCAAAAGCCCAGTAATGTATGAGATTAAGATTATTGCTAATTCTTGCAAAGCAACTAAGGCAACAGAAAAGAACATTGACACTGTATATTTTGGTCAGTCATTGACACACAGTTATTAATGTCTTAAACACATGAAGATTAAACAACATGCAACAAGCTCTACATAGTGGCTCAAATCAGTCTTCTGATTTAAGAAGTTTGCCCACATCAGTAGACAACTAAAACTAATTTATGTGATTTTAAATTGTTGTTTTAATGTGCTGTTTTTAACTGGTTGCTTTTTAATGTTTGTTTATTTACCGATGATATGGGTATATTCGGCATCTAATTGTTGCCTTTGCAAGGCCGCCCTGAGTCCCCTTCAGAGTCGAGAAGGGTGGGGTATTAGTGTGGCAAATAAATAATAAATACATTTTCAGGAGATATTTCCTGCTTTAGCTTTGAAAAGAAGGCTTGGAATACGGTTGTTTTTATTAATAATTTTACTTTTAATTATTTTTAACTTTATTTTCTGTCTTGGATTTTTCTAAAATAAAAATGGGAAAATGCTGGAAACAAATGCTTCTTGGGGAAAAATCCATCATAGCCGTTTGTTTAAGTAGGATTCACTTCCATGAGCAGAGGTCCTTTTGCAGTAGTATGGAGCAGACTGCATCCTTTACTAATAAATAGAACACTGTAAAAAAAAAAAAAGACTTTCAATGAACCCAAATACCCCACTAGAAAGAATACGTACTTGAGTTTGGCAAGTCTGTCTCTTGTCTGATTAATTTCTTTCATTTTAGAGTGAAGCCAATCTTCGAGCTGTCGTTTATTTGGGAAATAGCCGAGTAAGGAGATTAACTCTTCATTGTGTCTGGACTTTATTTTTCTGATTTGCTCTTCTTTGTCAGCCTTTAAATAAAACGATGGATACAAATAATTTTCAACTGTGCTCTTCAATTACATATTAGCTTAACAACAACAACAACTGAAAGGCAAACAAAACATTTGCAATACAGGAATAATGTCAACCTCGGGGTAATGTGTTTTTTCTACTCCTCTGATCTCCCCCTCCATGCTTTGAAGCTAATCATATTTTATGAGTGTTTTCCAATAACTACTTTATTCATTAGTTAATTTCATTTATATGCTGCCTTTCTCCTAAAGTGGGACCCAAAGACAACTACTTTAAATGGCTTAAAAATAAGTATCCCAAAACTCTTTAAATCACTTCAATCATATAAAATTATTTTAAATACTTAAAAAAAGAAGACACATACACCTCACTAAGGAGTATCTCTGCATGCACATTAAAATCCTGTTTAAACAAAAGCAGGGAGGGGAGAGAACCATGATTCAATCACATAATGCCAACCAATCTATTCGGCATTCCTTTTGAACTAGGCTTTTTTTTTAAAAAAAAAGTGCTCTACATATTATGTGCTACAGAATATTAACAGTATTAGACAAAATGCACTACTTTATCTTTCTTCAGCATGTCCATTTGAGTTATAATTGCTGTATTTAAGTTCAACTGTTCCATCTCCTTATCCAGCTTTCGAAGAATACCATCCAAATCTGACTTCTCTTTTTGAAGCTCCTTTATTTCTTTTTCCAGGATGTCAACCTTGCAGTTTTTTTCAGCTTCATCTAGTTCATGATTCTAAGTAGAAGAAAATAATGCAACCAGACAAGAGTTCATTTTTAAAATCACACTGAAGAGAGTCAAAACTGGAATAGTATTCACTCAGTTAAAAACAGCTTTAGCATTAGCAAGACCATTACAGCTGCTGAAGAAGAGTTTAACCATATTACGTCAGTAAACATAAGCCTCAGATAACTAAATGCTCATCCACATGGAAAAGGCTCCTGTGTACAGCAATTCAGGCAGGCAGTTAAGCTACCATGTTCTCTGGATTCCTGTTCCTCCAACCAACCCCATATTTTAATTAAGAATATTATATGGAGGTAGACATGTGAATGCCCACATGCAGTCAGATCCAAGGAGAAACAAGCAGTTCAACGCAGTAGACCCTTAGTACCCAGGGGTTTCTTGTGTCCCATTACATTCAGTGGTGCAGTAAACTGAGTTCCTTTACATAAAATGGCAAACCCAAGTTTTGCTTTTGGATTTTATTTTAAAATATATTTTAAAACCATGGATGGATATGGAGGGAGGGTGTTGTCACATTATATCACTGCTGCACTGCTGTTTTTCTGTTCTCAAAAGACATAGTTCAAAATACAGAGAGCTTCTTAAAGACCCTTGCTAGAACACTTGTGACCTTGTGGTTGGTATGGCCACCTAGCCAAGGACCAAGTCATTAATTGGATTCCACATGCCAATTACAAAGCTCACACTGGAAGCCACCACAGCGGGATGGGCACCTCAAACTTCCTTGCCTCACTCTTTCAGTAACCCCAAATATGTATGCAAAATCACTGACCAAACCTATCCTAACCTGCCCCATCTGTTATTCAATTTGGTTTGTTAAACAATTATTAGAATTAATACCATATATTCTGGTGTATAAGACTAATTTTTAACTCAAGAAAATCTTCTCAAAAGTCAGGGGTCGTCTTATATGCATGGGTAGTCTTATACATGGGAGTCGTCTTATATGTTGGAGTAGCCTCACCGGGAAGGTGTAAGTGAAGGGCGGAGCAAGCTGCATGCGTCCGTGGCGCCCGGGGTATGGAAAAAAAAGGTAGTGCCTCTGGGCCCAGAAAAACACAAGTCTTTTACTTATCTGGCCTGCCCTTGTATCCTATTACCGTACCTCCTCCTCTGCCTCTCAGATCTCTCTTCTGAAGATTGCAGTGAAGTGGTGCAGGTGCGCATGTGCGAGATCTGAGAGGCAGAGAAGGAAGTACTGTAATAGGAAAATCACCATATTGAAATCAAATCAAAGGGTCAGGGCCTTCTCGGTGGTAGCCCCCCGCCTGTGGAATTCGCTTCCCGGGGAAATTAGGTCATCGTCATCCCTCACCTTTAGAAAGAAGGTAAAAACGTGGTTGTGGGACCAGGCCTTCGGGGAATTAGGTTAAAGGACAATTGATAATGTTTGACTATGGTTTGGAAGTGGATTTGGATAAGTTAAGCTGAGTAATCATTAGTATATGGCTAGATAAATAGCCACCAGACTGGCAATAGCTAAATGGATCGTAAGTATACTGTTTAATCTTTATTTATTAATGTTCATGTTTTTAATTGTTATGTTTGCTATTTTGTATTTATGATGCGGTATTGAATTATTGCCAATTGGAAGCCACCCTGAGTCCCCCTAGGGGTTGATAAGGGCGGGGTAAAAATGTTCGAAATAAATAAAATAAATAAAAATAAATCTGATGCTTTTAAAAATTTTATTTCGTGTGTGTTGGAAGAGGGGTAGTCTTATACGGTGAGTATAACCCAAACTCTATATTTAATTGGAAAAGTTGGGGGTCGTCTTATACGCTCAGTCGTCTTATATGCCGGAATAAACAGGTAATTTAAATCTCACAACTGAGGTTGGGTGAATAGGACTCCTCTATAAGTCACCAATGGGAGCAGGGCAATATTGGGAAATTCCGGGAGAGGGTTTTCTCTGATATGACACCCTAGATGTTATACAGCTCCCTTTCAGATGCCCGAGTAGTATCAACACTGGAGTCATGAGGGCACCAAATAATACATGGCTTTTAATGAAAGCTGTTGGAGCCTAACTGATTTTATCCATATATGCTCTTAAAATAGTCATGGAGTGTTTTGACTGATTTGAATTGTCTTGTTTTGTCATTTTAAACTCTGATACTCTTTAAATTAGTTTCTATTGATTCATATCATTGAGTAAATTCATCTGATACAATACTATCCCAAGACTCTTTGAAATAGAAGTAGTTTAAGAGATAAATCTATATCTAACGCATCAAAAACTATCAAAATTTTATCCAAATGTCAAAGGTAAATGTTGGAAGCGTGAGGACCATAAAGTAACATTCTTTCATATATGGTGGACATGCAAGTTGGCCAAAAATACTGGAGAGACATCCAAGAGAAAATCCAAAAAATATTAGACATCAAATTAAAATCTAAAACCGAGTATTTTCTACTGGGAATTATAGACTTTGAGACAGATAAAAAATAAAGAGAAACTTTTCAGCTATTTAACAACTGCGGCCAAAATAGCATATACTCAAAAATGGAGAACAAAAGAATTACAATCATTAGAACAATGGATATTAAAAATAATAGACATAATGAAAATGGGCAAATTAACTCAATTAATAAGCCAATATTTGCAGGGGAAAATATAATAGACTGGGCAGTACTGATGAAACAAGACAAAATGAAATGGACAGAAGGGATTAATTTTTAGGACAGAAACTGTTCTCCAGAGGAGAGCGACACAAAGAGGGAAGAACAGAAATAAAATGAGTTGGGTTAAGGACAATGAAAACACCCGTGGGGCTGGAAGCCATTTTTTTTTCTTTTTTAAAATTTTCTTCTCTCCACCTACCCACCCATTCTTTTTAACCCCATCCATTTCTTCTTTTTCTTTCTTTCCTTTTTTTCTTTTTCTCTTCCTAGATTTCACAGATTTATATAAATAAAAATGTAATGTTCGTTTGAGGGATTAACAGAACTCAAAAACCAGTGGGCCAATTGACACCAAATTTGGACAGCATACACCTAACAACCCAATTTATGTCCTTCACTCAAATTTTTTTGATTTTGTCATTTGGGAGTTGTAGTTGCTGGGATTAATAGTTCACCTAACAATCAAAGAGCATTCTGAACTCCACCAATGATGGAACTGAACCAAAGGTGACATACAGGACTCCCATGACCAACAGAAAACACTAGAAGGGTTTGGTTGACCTTGAGTTTGGGAGTTGTAATTCACCTACATCCAGAAAGCACTGTGGACTCAAACAATGATGGATCTGGACCAAACTTGGCACAAATATTCCATATGCCCAAATATGAACACAGATGGAGTTAGGGGGAAATAGACCTTGACATTTGGGAGTTGTAGTTACTGGGATTTATAGTTCACCTACAATAAAATAGCATTGTGAACCCCAACAATGAGAGAATTAGGGAAAACTTCCCACACAGAACCCCCATGACCAACAGAAAATACTTAAGGCCATCCTGTCCAAATCCCTTCACCAGGGCAAAAAAACATAATCAAAGCCCTCCTGACAAAGAGCCATCCAGCCATAGATATAGATAGATAGATAGATAGATAGATAGATAGATATGATTCACACACACATATATAGTATTATAGATTTGAAAGGGACCCCTAAAGAAGGACAATGACATGTTGCCTGTTCCAGAGTAGGCAAACCAGACAATCTCCACATCAACACTGACAAAGAAACAGCAAGAAATACTATTTACCAACAAGCACCATAACATTACATATATTAGAAACAAACACTTTCTCATTACTTTATTTTCCATATGATAAAACTGGGCCACAGCAACGCGTGGCAGGGGACGGCTAGTTGTTAATATACCTACCCCTTTCCCCCATTTTTAAACATTGTCATAAATCATTATTTTACTTCTTCAATAAAAATTATATATGTGTGTATGTGTGTGTATGATAAATCTATAAAAAATAGATATGGTTACCAAAGCTGTGGAGTCAGCGTCACAAGCAATTTTGGATGGAGTCAGAGCTAGTAGTATTTCCTTATATTCGATTTTAGAATAACACTTACAAGTCCTGTACTGTAAAACCCCCTTATCCACAGGGAATACATTCCGATATTCCCCATGGATGCCTGAAATCTTGGATAGTACCAAACTTTTTCTGAAACTTGATTGACTGAAACCATGGAAAACTACACTCTGGATGGGTGGGGAAGGGGGGGGGGAACGTAATATTTCTGGACTGCAACTAGGGCCATCCCAGGACTTACCCTGCTTAGCTTCAATGATCCAATGAGATCCAAGGCCTTTAGAGCATTTATCTGATGTTATTAAAGATAAATCTTACCGCCTTGGCAAGTTCTTGATCTAGTTCTAGAAGTCGATCTGAAGACCCTTCTAGCTGTTGTAATTCTTGTTTCAGGTTCTTTACTTCAAACCTTTTTTTATTCTGAATGTCTGACTTCAGCTCAATAGTTCTTTCAAGTCCAGTTTTTTTATCCCTTATTTCATCGATTTGCTTCTGCTTTGTTGCCTCCTTCTCCTCAAATTCTCTCTGAAAAAGTCATGGAAAGTATTTACTCAAAGGCTCAGTATAGATGAAGTTAGTTTCACAAATACAAGAGGAACCTATGTGGGCTTACATACATTTAGAATAAAGAGAATGAGTTTAGCTACATTCAGTCCCTTGCCCAATAAACATAAAGGAAAAGGATAATCTATGCCCTGTGCATTGAAGTACGTTACTACTAATTTGATGTGAGCTACACCTTCAGGAACAAGCTTGATATATACAAATCAATTTAAAATGTAGTCAGATGTCACACCATTTTGGTGTAGTTTACAATGGAATAGATTTGCATATGTTTGAACCCTGACCTCTCCACAGATTTAGAATGTGGTCTTTTCCCCCCTTATGTTAAATCATCTGAGTTTTTAGTGACTGTGAAAACATACTAACCACCAACTGATCAGCTGTTGCCTTGTCTTTGTCCTGTCTTTCCTTCACAAGGCTGTGAAAACTGTTGATTTGCCTTTCATTAAAAGGTGCTCTTTTAAATCCTTCCAGTTCCAACTGAGCTGCCAAAGACTGAATTAAGGAATCTCTTGTTCTGATTTGCTGCTGGTGGCGATCTGCTTGCAGTTGAAGGCGACCTTTCACAGAGACATAAGCAATGAAGGCAAAATATTTAAACAAATTCATTTCCAATTATTGATTGCCTGGTTTCCTAGGGAGAATAAACTTAACCTCCAAGCAAGTAGGGCTGATTGAGCATCTCACATTTGAAGCTATTGTACAATAGTTACTACCAAGGCCTTCATTTATGGCAAGAAGAGTTTTCCACATCCTCTTCTCTCCCCCCCCCCCCCAAAAAAAAACCCCATAAATGCTCATCACACACATCAATGTGAAAAAATTTTTTTTAAAAAAACCCCAATTTTGATTGAAACGCAACGAAGTCAGATAAATAGTATTGTGGGATAGACTGAGTCATGGACTAATGCTTGATAACATCCTTGACTGAATGTACACAATTGGCAAGAGGGATCAAAATAATCACTCACAGACATCAATGTAGCAACATATTTTGAGATGTTACCTCAAAGAGGCGCATATTGATTTACATACATTCATTGTGAGTGTTAGACATTAAACAAATGGTACCTTGTTCAACCAATAGTTCTGATTTTTCTCTATTGAATCTTTGGCATTCTTTGTTTGCTCTTTCCAGCTCTCTCTGACATTCTGCTAATCTCCTCTCCTTTTCTCTCACAGTTTTCTGGTGGTTTTGATACATTTCTCTAAGTTGTTCGTCAGTTCCTTGAAAAACCTAAGGTGACAGTTCAGGAAAAAGAAATGTAATCAATATTTTTATCACATGGGAGACTAAAGGGCAAAATACACATGATGCAGGAAATCTGTGATTAGCATCATTCTTAACTAAGAAAAAATAAGAGAGAGGGAGGGAGAGAGAAGGAAGGATGGAAAAAGAAAGATCTAATCAGATGACCCACATGGTTGCTTTCACTCTTAGGATCATTGGAAAGTAGAGCACTTTTCTGGTCCAGACACCACTATCAGCTCAGGGAAAGCAAGGGGGGCCCTATAAATTTTCCAGGACAATTTGGTTAGATACAACAAAGACACCCTCCCCCTGTCCAGTTCTTCAATCACATATTTGTCTTATAATCAGTCCTGAAGCCAGATTGAGATAGATCTAGATAACAGAACACTGGGTTTTTTATTATCAATATTACAAAGGCAGAAAACAAATATATTAAATATAAATCAATAACAATGGTTAATTCATCAAAGACTGCCAGGTTCAATTTAATTAATTTTTAATTTATGATTAATTATTATTATTAAAATGATCAACAGTCATGCATCTGTACTATAGTTTTCCTGTGAAAAATCTAGTATGTTCCTTGAGCAGTAACATTGAAAAAGTAGCAACTCTCCTCAAAACCCTGAATTCCTTGTTACAAAGAAAGGCATCCTTCTTCTGACAAAATTGACCAGTGAGTTCCATTTCTGACCACTCAGGTGTATGTTTTCTCTATTATGTTTAATGAAAGAAGTATTAAACCAATAATGGGAAGATTCTCCACTTCATCTGATCCATAACAAAGTGTAATTCAATATTTCTCTTCAGAACTATTGGAAAACAACTCCTATTATCCCCAAGCCAGTATGGGAAATTGCAAGAACTGTTGAATCCCTATGGAAGACAACTAGATAAGGAAGTGTGACATAAATCATAAGTTTTCAGCATATCTACTGCCAAGAAATGAAGAGTATGCTATGAGTTAAGTTCCTTCCACAGACTAAACTGAAATGATGAATTTAAACAGTCTTCTACACCTTGAACATTATATATACCAAGGAGGTATCATTAGAGGCTAAAATATTTATAGACTTAGGAGATGGAGAACCTTACTGTCAAAATAAATTTTAGTATAGAATTTTACTCCTTTTTAAACTAAAACTCGTTTCTCTACAATGGAAAAAAATCTTCCAGATGTATGATCCCAAGCTTTCTCCTTCAGTGAACTGGCTATGTAGTGTCATAAATATAATTCTGTTCAATACCCAAGAGTCAAATTACCAATTTCAAGGGGAAAAGCACTGAAGAAGTGGCAGACTACAAAAATAATGAGTGGATATGATATGGATAAAAAACAGAAATGTTTTTCTATTTCTCCAGATAAGCGAAATAAAAAATATAGGATGTAGACTTGCTTATTAGAAAACTGGGACTATGATTTTATTTATTTATTTATTTGATGCATTTATTAACCGCCATTCTCAGCCCTTTAGGGCGACTCATGGCGGTGTACACACATATAAAGGACAATTTACAAAAAGGCAATTACAACAACATATAAACTACATAACAATTACAAAAAACTACGCTAAAAATCCGCTTCGTCTCTTAGTGGAATCATAACCAATCTCATATTCCTTGTTCCATTCCAATCATCTTTACCACATTGTTATAGCACTAATTAAATGCCTTCTCGAACAGCCATGTCTTGAGGCTTTTTCGGAAGGACATGAGGGAGGGCGCCTGTCTGATGTCTGCAGGGAGAGTGTTCCACAGCCGGGGGGCCACCACCGAGAAGGCCCTCTCTCTCGTCCCCGCCAAACGTGCCTGTGAGGCAGGCAGGATCGAGAGAAGGGCCTCCCCAGACGATCTCAAGGTCCTCGTGGGCTCGTAGGCCAAGATGTGGTCCGAAAGGTATTTTGGGCCGGAACCGTTTAGGGCTTTGTAGGCCAGAACCAGCACCTTAAATTGGGTCCGGTAGCAAATCGGCAGCCAATGGAGCTGGGACAACAAGGGCGTTGTATGCACCCTGCCCCCCGCTAGGCCAACACCAGCACCTTAAATTGGGCCCGGTAGCAAATCGGCAGCCAATGGAGCTGGGACAACAAGGGCGTTGTATGCTCCCTGCCCCCCGCTCCAGTTAGTAACATGGCTGCCGCGCGCTGAACCAGCTGAAGCTTCCGGGCCGTCTTCAAGGGCAGCCCCACGTAGAGAGCGTTGCAGTAGTCAAGGCGGGATGTGACCAGAGCGTGTACCACCGTGGCCAAGTCAGACTTCCCGAGATACGGGCGCAGCTGGCGCACGAGCCTAAGCTGTGCAAATGCTCCCCTGGTCACCGCTGAAACCTGGGGATCCAGGCTCAACGATGAGTCCAGGGTCACACCCAAGCTGCGAACCTGCACCTTCAAGGGGAGTGCGACCCCATCCAGCACAGGCTGTAACCCTATACCCCGTTCGGCCTTGCGACTGACCAGGAGTACCTCTGTCTTGTCTGGATTTAATTTCAGTTTGTTCGCCCTCATCCAGACCGTTACAGCGTCCAGGCACCGGTTCAGGACCTCGACAGCCTCCTTAGTAGCAGGTGGAAAGGAGTGACAGAGTTGGACATCATCTGCGTACAGATGACACCGCACCCCGAAACTCCGGATGATCTCACCCAGCGGCTTCATGTAGATATTAAACAGCATGGGGGACAGTATGGAACCCTGTGGAACCCCACAAGTCAAAGGTTGTGGTGTAGAACAGGAGTCCCCCAATAACACCTTCTGGGTGCGGCCCTCCAGGAATGACCGGAGCCACTGCAAAACAGTGCCCCCAGGCCCATTTCCGCAAGGCGCCCCAGAAGGATACCGTGGTCGACGGTATCGAAGGCCGCTGAGAGGTCCAGGATCACCAACAGGGACACACTCCCCCTGTCTAGCTCCCGGCGCAGATCATCCACTAAGGCGACCAAGACCGTCTCGGTACCATGTCCCGGTCTGAAACCAGACTGTGCCGGATCCAGATAATCCGTGTCTCTCAAGAATACCTGGAGTTGTGAGGCCACCACGCTTTCCATGACTTTGCCCAAGAAGGGGAGATTGGAAACAGGCCGAAAGTTGTCAAATTTAGTGGGGTCCAGTGATGGTTTCTTCAACAGCGGCTTTATAATAGCCTGTTTTAGGCTCGCTGGAATCTTGCCTTCCCGAAGGGAGGCATTCACCACCACTGTTACCCACTCAGCCAAACCCCCTCTGGCCTCCCTTAGAAGCCAGGATGGGCAGGGGTCTAGGATGGACGTGGTGGGCCTCATTCCTCCAAGTATCTTGTCCACATCCTCGGGTTTCACAAACTGAAAAGAATCCATCAAAATAGGACAAGCAGGTGCTCTTGTTACATCCTCGGAGACTGCATTTAACGCGGCGTCCAGCTCAGAACGGATCAAGGCGACTTTGTCTGCAAAGAACCGAGCAAATGCTTCACAGCGCGTGATCGAATTGTCAGGGCTCCCGTCTAAGAGTGGCGGGAGTTAAAAGACCTCTGACAATCCGAAACAACTCCGCCGGACGGTTCTTTGCAGACGCAATAGTGGCCGCAAAGAAGGTTTTCTTTGCGGCCTTTATTGCCGCGGCATATGCCCTAAGAAAGGACACAAACCGTGCTCGATTTGACTCGCTCGGATCCGAGCGCCACACGCTCTCTAGTTCCCTCTTCCTTCGCTTCATCACTGCCAGCTCCTCAGTAAACCAAGGGGCTGGTTTAGCTCGGCTACTTGAGAGGGGACGTTCCGGAGCAATCATGTCAATAGATCATCCGGAGTTTCGGAGTGCGATGTCATCTGTACGCAGATGATGTCCAACTCTGTCACTCCTTTCCACCTGCTACTAAGGAGGCTGTCAAGGTCCTGAACCGGTGCTTGGCCGCTGTGACGGTCTGGATGGGGGCGAACAAATTGAAATTGAATCCAGACAAGACAGAGGTACTCCTGGTTAGTCGTAAGACCGAACAGGGTATAGGATTACAGCCTGTGTTGGATGGGGTCGCACTTCCCCTGAAGACACAGGTTCGCAGTTTGGGTGTGATCCTGGACTCATCGCTGAGCCTGGAACCCCAGGTTTCGGCGGTGACCAGGGGAGCATTCGCACAATTAAAACTTGTGCGCCAACTGCGACCGTACCTTGGGAAGTCTGACTTGGCCACGGTAGTCCACGCTCTGGTTACATCCCGCTTGACTACTGCAACGCTCTCTACGTGGGGTTGCCTTTGAAGACAGCCTGGAAGCTCCAATTAGTCCAACGGGCGGCAGCCATGATACTAACAGGAGCGGGGCGCAGGGAGCATACAACTCCTCTGCTGCACCAGCTCCACTGGCTGCCGATATGCTACCGGGCTCAATTCAAAGTGCTGGTTTTGGCCTTTAAAGCCCTAAACGGTTCTGGCCCAACTTATCTATCCGAACGTATCTCAGCCTATCAGCCCACCAGGACCCTAAGATCTTCTGGAGAGTCCCTGCTCTCTATCCCATCGGCTTCCCAAGTGCGGCTGGTGGGAACGAGAGACAGGGCCTTTTCTGTGGTGGCCCCTCGGCTTTGGAACACCCTCCCTATAGAGATACGATCAGCCTCTTCGCTGATGGTGTTTCGGAAGAGATTAAAAACATGGTTGTGTAAACAAGCATTCGGTTAGTTTGTTATCACCGAATTTTATGGACTAAGGACTGGTTAATTATGGATGACGAATTCTGGACTGTGATTTTAGTGACGAGATACATGGTATTATTATTGGTGGCCCAATAATTTGTATTGTCTATGTGTTGTTGTTTTAAATTGTATATTGTTTTTAATTGTTGTAAACCGCAATGAGTCGCCGACTTAGGCTGAGATATTAGCGGTATACAAGTGTATTAAATAAATAAATAAATAAATAAATTCTATTATCTTCCCATTCCAGAGAGCGACCAAGGCCTCGACATGGTCACCTACCGAGGTGGCGGGAAAATTCCCAAGAGCCGTCAGGAATCCATCCGGATCCATAAGCCTCCTGGGGCGGACCATCTTAATGGGTCCTCCACCTTGCGGAGGTTAGGGGGTGCAGTGAGCCTAAATCTGATCAGGAAGTGGTCGGTCCATGGCAACGGAGAGATGGACAACTCCTCCACACCGCCACCCTGTTCCCATCCCTGGCAGAAAACCAAGTCCAATGTGTGTCCAGCACAGTGGGTGGGGCCAGATATTTGTTGGGACAGCCCCATGGTTGCCATGGCAGACATGAAGTCCTGAGCCGCACCTGTGAGGGCCGTCTCGGCATGGATATTGAAGTCTCCCAGCACAAGGAGCTGTTGAGACTCCAACGCCAGGCTCGAGACCACCCCCGCTAGCTCAGGTAGGGAGACTGTAGTGCAGCGAGGTGGACGGTACACTAACAGAATCCCTATTCTGTCCCGGTCACCCACCCTCAGGTAGACGCATTCAAAATTTGTGGTCTGCGGGATGGGGCACCTGGTCAGATGGATGGAATCTCTATAGACCACTGCGACCCCGCCTCCCCGCCCTCCGGATCTCGGTTGGTGCTGCACGGAGAAGCCTGGAGGACAAAGCTGGGTCAGATTTACTCCTCCAGCTTCATCCAGCCAGGTCTCCGTGATGCACGCCAGATCTGCCCGCTCGTCCAGGATTAGGTCCTGGATCCAGGTCGTTTTTCCGTTGACAGATCTGGCGTTCAACAGCACCACCTTCAGTCCAGAGGGTCCGCTCACCTGGTTACACCAATTTACCTTAGGAGACCGATTTGGGATTAATATGGATAAGCGGTCCGAATTAGGCCGAATTTGAGGTCTCCTTTTTCCGCATCTCCTCCTTCCCACCACGACCTCTATGGGGGCCCCTCGGCTAGTGGAACACCTCCCCTCCTCCGTGCCGCAGTTCATGACCAAGGTCTTAGTCTCTGGTTCACCAGCTGTCTGGAGTGTTGGCGTTTTTTCATGCCAGTTGCTTTGGTCTTCTTTATCCCCCCTCCCCTCCTCATTGTTCTTCTCAGGCTCCAGCCCCCTTCCTCCCCTGCCCCTTCCACCAATCAATAATATCAGGGACAGTATACATAGAAGGGTGGGGGACCACATGGGTGTAAGCGGTACACTTCAGTAGATGGCAGTGATACAGATGGTAAACGATCAGCCGCGAAAGTAAGATGGTACTTAAAGTGCTAGAGTCTTAAAGTGGGTGATTTTATGGGTGATTCAGTATCACCCATAAAAGCTGGCAATGTTGGTAGCGGGGAACATATATGCCTTATTATAGAGACAACATACATTATTATTTGTAATTTGGGAAGGTATGCCCCAAATTAAATTATTTTTGAACCCAAATAGCATGGGACAGTGCACCCTTCTTAGTCCGGGAAAGTTCAAAATCTGGAAGTGCTCACTACAGGGTCTTTGGGGCAAAAATATCTTTTTGGTTCTGCTTTCTTTTCACAACTGCCTATCCATGGTGTAATTCATAATCTACTTCAGAGAAGACAATGCTAACGACACATTGCCAACCTTTTCCATCTTCTGTTGCAAATCTTGATTATCCTTTTCCATCTGCTTTTTCCGACTTTCCAGAGCTTTGATGTCATTGTCAAGTTTCATTACTTTCACAAGATTCTGTTCTATTTCCGTCAGACGATTCTGATAAAGAGAAAATACTAAAAATAAACAAGGCAATGTTGTAAGTTTACCGAACTCACCTCCTGGGACAGAGGAAGGACCAGTATCCCTATCCCTATTTGAACCATCCCTCTTGTTCACTTGCATGGAATTACATACATCTTTCATCATGCAATGACTTTTTGTCTTTAGCTACAAGACAAATGTGTAAATACCAAACAGTCACAAAATATTTATTTCTAACTATATCCTGGATTGTACTGAAATCTCTGCACACAGAAACTATCTCATAATTCATTATATGTGTTTAATTTGAACCAACTGTATGTCCTCCGTGTCTTAAATCCAACTGCTAGTCTCAGTTACAGTAGACCAATTGAATCAATTGCTGTATAGTAAGGTAAAACTCATATAAATCCAGCTGAGTCAAAGAAGCTTTGACACAGAACTGCCTCTCTTCTACCCAAGTGACTCGGCCCTGATTTGACACACAGACCTACACCTAGTTAATAATTCCAGTCTTTGCACATAAGAAGGCTGCCCTTTTTAGAATAAAAAAATGCAATCACACCTTCTGGAGTTGACTTTTGACCAATGATAAATAGTAGCAGTAAGTGTTAAATAATAAACATGTATAGAAAGATGGTTGTTTTACATGCTACCAGCAAACGGTAGCTTAAATAATGTATATATACATAAATGTAGAACTCTGTTTCAAATGTTCTAACATAACTATGCAGTTTTGTAATTTCCAATAATATACACCCAATAGAATACAACTAGAGACATTAATTACCTTTAGAGGTTCAAGTTGGCTCTCAATAGACCTGACATTTTCCTTGGAGGCCGCTAACTGAGTTTCTCTGCTAGTGAGCTGGTTCTGAATTTCGTTGGCTTTTTCTTTGTTCTGTTTCAAGTACCTCAGCTCCACCTGACACTCTTTCACCCGCTGGGCTTGCTTCAGACGTACTTGACGAAGTGTTTCCAAAGCCTTAATGTACCTTATCAGAAGTAAACCAAATTACATTTCAACATAATTAGCATTATTTGCTTCAATGGATGATTAATGAATGGTTTTTAAATAATTTAAGATTCAAAAGAAAAATCAATTTGGTTTTAACCAAAACAAATATAAATTAACCTTGTTGCTGAAAAGATCTCATCAAATTTTTGTTTCAGAGCCTTTCCTTCACTTAAAGGCCAGTTGGATTCTTCTTGGTGGCAGAAGATGACATTGTTAAGCACAGACTTGGATACACCAAGAGCACTGATCATCTCTCGGTCGATTTCTGCACATTTAGAGCTCAGACTGACCTTGTCTCCATGTCTATATGAACAGAGGGAAAGCATATGCATCTGATGATCCTGCAAAACTTCAATAAATATACTGCAAAAGATGAGAACTCAGGTTTTGTACATTGAGTCTTCATTCATAAGAAAATACATTCCGATGTGGAATGCCCCTGGTATAATTTATAATTACTTTTGGAAGTGACATTTCATAACCTTTTCTGTGAAAAGGAGAGTAGCCTTGTGATCATTCTTGTACAAGTATGCCTCGGTTTTTCCTGGGCTTTACCTCTTTAACATAATTTTTCCTATCACAGGAAGACATAACATGGAAAGAATAGGAATACATTCCTACGTCATTAAAAAGGAGATCAGGTCACCATGTTTTTGGAAATGTTTAAAGCCAAAACTAAAACAATGCATTTGTGAAACGAAACAAACAGCTCCGGTAAGCCTTGCATAAGGAAATAATTACATATTAAATCTTCTAGAGGACACACATGGAAGTGGACACTAAAACGTGTACTGCTTGGTCTGCCTGACAGAACTTACAAATCAGCATATTCACAAAGGCATTGAATCTTGTTTAGTTGCAGATGGTGGAGACATGAACCCCAATTGTGTGCATCTTCCAAAATGTATCCCTAAATAATTTCTTCTTTCAAGAGTCTCAACATTTTTCATAATTTACCTTTTGGTGGCCAAAGTTATAGATCTATGTTTTTTCAACCTGTCAGGGTTGCTGGTGAAGCATGTTAATGTTAATGACCCCTTCCTTTCTGTTTTGCTAAGCAAGGCATTCTTGAGGACACTGTTTGCTCGCCTGTTTTACTGTAAGAACACCTACAGCAGAATTAGATTCTTTCCCAATCAATCTTTATTGCATTGTTTACTGCAAACACATTATTGAAACCTAACACTGAAAGTCTTTCCCGAGCTCTCCTTTGTCATTTCCCCAATGCCAATGAGGCCAAGACATGGGCTCTCATAACATGACTTTGTAAGAAGCTTCTTTGTTAACTGCGGTATGCCTGTATTTATGACAGTAACGATTATGTTTGAAAAATAATCTCAATATTATTTCACCTGATTAATAGTGGAAGGAGACTAGACAACATGTGTTGGCAAACCCACAAAAGTAGATGCAACTGAAACCGTTTGCATCTTCCCACACTCACTTTGTTCTGGTAATGACTCCTTCAAGAGTTTTAAATTCTGTTTTCTTTCCTTTCTGAGTGCATACCATGGATCGTTGGACAGCTAGAAGCTCTCCATTAACATCACGAAATTGAAGCCGAATCTGAGCTCTGACATCTGTTTCATGGGCAACCTTCAGCAACAAAAGAATTGTTTTTGTAAAGTAATCTCAATAATTTCTAACAGTTACCATCACCACCTGTTCTCTAGACAATGGAACTAAACCATAAACAAATGTATCACTGAAGGGAACAGCTCGAAAACTAGCATTTACATAACCAGCCAGGAAAACAATGATGAAGTCTAATCTGGAACTGGGAAGCCAACCTAACACATGTGCCTAAAAAATGTTCAATTACCATGTTTTGCATAATTTGATAATGTTGTATTGTGAAAGGAGTAAATATCGGGGAAGGACCAAGGTTGTGTGTGTGTTTTTTTAATTAGGGGAAAACAAATATAAGAAAAGGGCCTAGAAGCATGAACTGAAGACTGCATGAAGGGAGACTTAATCCCCTTCCACACAGCTGGATAGAATCAATATTGAACTAGATTATATGGCAGTGTGGACTCAGATAATCCAGTTCAAAGCAGGTATTGTGGATTGTGTGCCTTGATATTCTAGGTTATAAGGCTGTGTAGAAGGGCCCTAAGAGAGATTTATTCTGCTCTATTTTCTGTTTTTGTTTTTAAATACAGTTTTTAGAATTTCCAGATATTTCACCTTCACTAAGGTAATATTTTAAAAGACAGACAGATGGACTAAAATGTCTGATTCACATGGAAATCAATGCATAGGTCATCAAATGGTTTTCCATGGTTGCATTATCTCCCAGAATCCCAATTGTACATTTCTATTTCACACAATCTAAACCATTTTTAAAGGCTTCCTGAAATGTCAGTCCTAATTGGCCTGATTCAGTGAAATATACTTGAATATACTGAACAGATTAACAAGAACAGCACTTTGCATAACTTACTCCAATATGTTCACTGCAGCAAAGCACAATACAAAACAAAACAGGAGTTAATAAATCATAGGATAGAGTATTACTCTTGCAAACACACATTTTCGCAAATGGTTATCTATAAGCCATTGATTGTCTCATTCAGAACAAATATTTTATTTCGTACAGCTAATTTTTTTAAAAAAAACTCTCCTGGAATGAGCGGCTTTCAAAACTAGCAGTGCACATGTTAAGTGTGCCATCAATCATTTACTGATGTCTACAAAATTTGTGATAGTCTACTTGTGAGTAGTTACAAGACGTTATGGAATTAGGAAGCCCAATACTTACTTTTGGGTCATGGACAAATGAATTTCCTTTGGTGCCAGGAGGGAAGTCCCCAGTGCAAATATACTTGAGGCATTCTATGATTGTCTGATGAGAATGGAAACAAGTGTCAATAATAATACACAAATAGCTTATCTCTGTTATTTCCAGATAATGATTGCAAAACATAACATAGACGCAGCTAACATTTTCTCCATCTCTCTTGCATGTTTTCAACCCATGAGAGTAGTTTACTCATGTGAACAATAGTTAATGTCAAAGGAAACAACTTCATGGTAATCTCAAAGATTAGTCTCTACTACCTAGAATTCAAAGCACATCATATGCAAAGCCAAACTCCAAATTTCTATAAATTTTCTGATACAAGCCAAGTACTTATGGAAGCTGTTAAACATGCGAAGGAGACAAAGTAATGTTTGGACTATGTTCCTTGAAGATATGCACATACATTTCTAGGACACAATTTCTCCAGTACTCATCCAGTCAAACAGCCACATAACCTAGTCATTTATTTGCAGAACAAAATCAATTTTGCTGAGGATCAGACAAATTAATCTCTGTACTCTTGCAGAAATGGTCAAAGAACTGGATCCGCACTGGGATACAATTTGAAAATTGACATGTTATGCCCACATTTTGAAAATTGAAATTTGTTGTTAACCACATGCCCACACAATCTAATGTATGAAAATGCATTTCACTAAAATGAAATTAAACACAATTGGGTCTCACCGTTTTTCCAGCACCATTTGGGCCCACCAAGATGGTTAAAGGATTAAAGAAACTGATCACTTGCTTGTCTTTGTCCTCAATACCAAAGCTCCGCACTCCAAGAATACTCATTTTATCTATCCGAGACATTTTTGAGGAATATTCCTCTTCCAGGAGACACCGGGTTCTATTTTAAATATCCTGGAAAAGAATTGTTCAATAGAAAAACATAGTATATCATTTCTCCTACTTCCTTTTCTTTCCAGACAAAATAAATCAAATTTGATAAGCAGATCAAATCACTAGTCATAGAAGTAAATTACTAATACAATGGCAAGTTCTTTCATCACATACACATAATTATTCAGCTCATTACACACATAAACACAATTATTTTGGTACCACTTGATGGTTAACTTCTACTGGAAGCTGAATATAGAATTCTAGTCTTAGAAAGGTGTTATCTCTAGAAGCTGTAGGTCCTCCAGCAGGATTGGAAGAAGCTGAGCAGAGTCACATTTGAAGCCTTAGGGCCCTTCCACACAGCTCTATATTCCAGAATCCCACAATATCTGCTTTGAACTGGGTTATCTGAGTCCACATTCCAATAATGTGGGATTTCCTGCCTTGATATTCTGGGATATAGGGCTGACTTTCCGAAAAAAGGTAAAAACTTGGCTCTTTGGGCAAGTTTTGAGAATGCAGCGGAATAGCTAACATGAAACTATGAATGATGAACACGGAACGGCCAGACGATGTCACTGGAAAATGATTTTAACAAGGTGACATCAGTGATTACATGTTTTAATGGTTTTAATATATGTTTTTATATTGTTATGTTGACTGTTTTTAATTGCACTTTTATGAGAGCATGGCATCGAATCATGCCAATATGTAAGCCGCCTTGAGTTGGTTGAGAAAGGCGGGCTATAAATGTCATAAATAAATAAATCCAAATTCAAAGCAGAACATGTCAGGCTTTATTCAGCTGTGTGGAAGTGACCCTAGAAAGTCCAGACAGGCCCTTTATCCCAGGATCTGATTCCAGTTTTTTTCTGCTTTAGACTGGAATATATCAGTCCACAAAGCCAGATAATCTGAAATAAACAGAAAACCTGGGATCAGATCCTGGGATATAGGGCCTGTCTGGAAGGGCCCCTAGTGAAAACATTTTCATCAAATCAATAAATAATCAAATTCACAAAAGTCAAAACTGCAGATGTGGAGGGATTATTGTTAATGTCCAGGCCCTGGCTCTCTGAGGACCTTTGTGATATGATATAGGGCCCTTCCACACAGCAATATAACCCAGAATATCAAGGCAGATAATCCACAAGATCTGCTTTTGAACTGGGTTATCTGAGTCCACACTGCCATATAACCCAGTTCAAAGAATGTAATTTTGAGATTTCATATAGCTGCGTGGAAGGGGTCTAAGTTTCTCTCTTCCACTCTCAAATAGTATGGCCAATGGCTAGGGCAGTGGTTCTCAACCTGTGAGTCCACAGGTGTTTTGGCCTACAACTCCCATAAATCCCAGCCAGCTTACCAGCTGTTAAAAGCCACAACACCTAGGGACCCACGGGTTGAAAACCATTGGGTTGGGGAACCACAGCAGTAGCCCAACATCTGGACAACCATAAATAAATAAAAGTTGTTGAAGGCTTTCATGGCCTGAATCACTGGGTTGCTGTAAGTTTTTTGGGCTGTATGGCCATGTTCCAAAAGCAATCTCTCCTGACATTTCGCCTGCATCTATGCTGTAGATGCAGAAGAAACATCAGGAGAGAATGTTTCTGGAACATGGCCATGCAGCCCAAAAAACTTACAGCTACCCAAATAAAAGTTGGTCCCATTACAACACTAGTCTAAATATGACCACAGCTCTTTCAAACCACATAAACAAGCATTTACGGAAAGTTAACCACCCCAATCTTCTGCACTGATAAGGAGTTGGCTTCTCACCTCCCACTCAGTGATTTCAGTAACCACAGCTCAGCTGGAGAACCCTGCCAGGAGGCAGAAAGGCCGTCTATCAGAGCCCAATCACATTAATGGTTAAGCTCAATCCAGCAGAGTGGTTCTGAGGGAGGAAGGAGTGGGTGAAGGCGTGGGGCTGCCTCATCCCTTTTATAATAATAATAATAATCATCATCATCATCATCATCATCATCTTTATTTATACCCCGCCACCATCTCTCAAAGGGGACTCAGGGCGGCTTACATGAGGCCAAGCCCAACAATTACAACAATGCAAATATACACATAAGAATACAATATAAGGAAATAAAATAAAATACAAAAAAGTATAAACATCTCATACAATATAAAATCAAGAGTATTTGAACATGGAAATTTGGTCACAATGGGCGAGGCCGGTTATAGAAATTAAAAGTTTAAAAACACTGGGTGAGAGAGCAATGCAATATATTTGGACAAGGGATCCGAGGGATGAAGTGGGGTTTAACTGCACTAACAAGTAAAATAAAGTACTTCTGAGGACATTTTATGTAAAGTTTGTTCAGATCAGGAATTATTGTTCATTCATTCATTTCTCTAATGGTCCGCAGCCAGACAAACACAGGGTGCTATGGGAGCGGTGGAGGGTTTGGGTTGAGACGGTGCAGCACTTCAGTATCTTTGGTGGTTGTACAAAAAGGAATCCTACCAAGTGCATCCAGGTAACAAGAAATTCCTGGTGACATATTCTTTTCTGGTTGCATATGTGCCTTGATGTTACATGATGACCTGCCAAAAACATTGGGTGTCCCTGCTATACAGGGTGGAGACTAGAGAGGGATCCTGTACCTTCAGTGAAGACCTGGGCCAACTTGGGCCCTCCAGGTGTTTTGGACTTCAACTCCCACCATTCCTAACAGCCTCAGGCCCTTTCCTTTTCCCCCTCAGCCGCTTAAGCGGAAGGAAGGGGCCTGAGGCTGTTAGGAATGGTGGGAGTTGAAGTCCAAAACACCTGGAGGGCCCAAGTTGGCCCAGGCCTGGTTTAGACGCACCCTGAGATTCTAGGAGAGTTACCTGGCTGCAGAGTTACCTGGCGGCAGATGGGAGGGCAGAGGAGAACAGGCTCAGGCAGAAGAGGAAAAGGAGGAAGGCGTGTGCGTGAAAGAGGGGAAGCCTTAACCCCGTGACGCAAAACAAGAGGGACCACACACCCGCGCGCCAGTCTTCCCTAGGAAATCAAACCAGCGCCAACTTCGTTCGAACCGCAGAACGCGCCACGGCGACGTCATCACCGCCCGCGCGCACTCCGCCGCCGCACCATAGAGATAGAAACAAGTAGACTTGATCTATTCTTCTCTGCTAACAGCTAACATTGTTTTAGCCCTCGGGAGCCAAAAGTATAAATTCTAATAAGTGTCGACGTGATGGCACCAAACCATGCTGCCACGCTTGATGCTTATACAGCAAGGCCCTAGCTCTAGTACTCCAGGTGTCTGGGACTTCAACTCCCAGAAGCCTTTGTTGTCTTTGTTGGTGGTCAGGAATTCTGGGAATGGAAGTCCAAAACATTTGGAAGAGCTCAGTATATTCTCACATTTCCTTGGGCCCTTCCACACAGCCCTATATCCCAGAATATCAAGGCAGAAAACCCCACATTATCTGAGTGTGGACTCAGATAACCCAATTCAAAGCACATATTTTGGTATTTTCTGCCTTGATATTCTGAGATATAGGGCCGTGTGGAAGGGCCTTTGGGCTTCTCAGTTGTTAGACTGAGGGCCCTTCCACACAGCCCTATATCCCAGAATATCAAGGCAGAAAATACCAAAATATCTGAGTGGGGGTTCAGATAACTTAGTTCAAAGCACATATTGTGGGACTTTCTGCCTTGATATTCTGGCATATAGGGCTATGTGGAAAAGCATTTAGGCTTCTTAGTTGTTAGACTGAGGGCCCTTCCACACAGCCCTATATCCCAGAATATCAAGGCAGAAAATCCCAAAATAGCAGAGTGTGGATTCAGATAACCCAGTTCAAAGCACATATTGTGGGATTTTCTGCCTTGATATTCTAGGATATAGGGCTGTGTGGAAGGGCCCCTTGTCTCTGAAAATGAAGTGTAACATATTTCTGCAGAAGTGTAACATATTTCTCAGTGACCCCCCCTTCCACACAGCTGTATAAAATCCACATTGAACTGGGTTATATGGCAGTGTGGACTCAGATAATCCAGTTCAAAGCAGATATTGTGGATTATCTGCCTTGATATTCTGGGTTACATGGCTGTGTGGAAGGGCCCTGAGACCACAAACTATGGATCCCAGGTTTCCACAGGATGGAGCGATGGCAATTAAAGTGCTGTCAAACTGCATTAATTCCGCAGTGTGGATGGTTTCTGCGTTCGTCACCGAATGAGGAACCGCAGAGCTACATATAGCAGCATAGGTCCTCAGGCCCCATCTAAACTGCCATATAGTCCAATTTCTGAATCCAGATTGTCTGCTTCAAGCGGGATTATATAGCAGTATAGGTTGGGCCTTAGGTCCCTCCTACACCTCTATATCATCCTGAATATCAAATCAGATTATCAAATCAGATAATCCACGTTATCTGTTTTGAACTGGATTACATGAGTCTAGACTGTCATATAATCCAGTCCAAAACAGATAATCTAGATTTTATTTGGCAGTGTAGACAGCGCCTCCAGTCCCTTCCACACTGCCCTTTATCCCAGGATCTGATTCCAGATTATCTGATTTAAACTGAGGGTCTTTCCTCAGAATATCAAGGCAAAAAAATCCCACATAATCTGAGTGTGGACTCAGACCCCTTCCACACAACTGAATAAAATCCCACATCTTCTGCTTTGAAATGGGATATATGGCAGTGTGGATTCAGATAACCTGGTTCAAAGCAGATATTGTGGGATATTCCGCCTTGATATTCTGGAATCTAGGGCTGTGTGGAAGGGCCCTGAGACCTCTTCCACACAGCTAAATAAAATCCCACATTATCTGCTTTGAACTGGAATATATGTCAGTGTAGACTCAGATAACCCTGTTCAAAGCAGATGTTGTGGGGTTTTCTGCCTCGCTATTCTGAATTATATGGCTATGTTGGAGGGCCCTAGAATATATGAGTCCCCACTACCAGATAACCTGGGATAAACATAATTTGGGATCAGATCCTGGGAAAAGGGAGCAGTGTGGAAGGGCCCTCAGACTGAAAACTATAGGTGGCTCCTGAACCCTTCATGAATTCTGTCTGATCTTTGGGTTGCCTTTAAAGGGCTGTTGAATCCATGGACTAGGATGGGAAGACATCAGTGACATCCCATGCATTTCTGATAGCACAGAAGAGACTCTTCTTCAAGCCGTCTCAGTCTCCTCACAACCAGAAAGTCATCTTGATCGGCCTTCCAACATTTCTCTCCCTGCTTCTGTGTAGCAGCACCCTAATTGTAGCAGGACTTTTCCAGGATAGTTGACCTTTTCCAGGATAATTGGCTTTGAGATGGTTGGGAAAAACGATTGCCCTGCCAAGATTTTACCAGTTCACAGATCCCTAAGATTTCTTTGATTATTTTGAAATTTTGTTGCAATCTTTGTTTGGTGTTGTCTTATGATGTTCGTAATTATATTACAAATTGTAATAAATTCTTCTGAGGCCCCTTCTACATTGCCATAACATTGCCATATAATCCATATTTTCAAAGTAGATAATCCACATGATCTGCTTTGCTAATCTTGTTTATATGGCAGTCAAAGGTGGCCCTAGGTAATTTTCAAGGGTAAGCAAACAGTATTTTGCCCCCCCCCCCCCAATCACTGATATATATTTTCTGTTCGTCGTGGGAGTTCTGTGTGCCATATTTGGTTCAATTCCATCATTGGTGGAGTCCAGAATGCTCTTTGATTGTAGGTGAACTATACATCCCAGTAACTACAACTCGCATATGTCAAGGTCTATTCCCAAGAGCACCCCTGGGCAAAATAAACTATACTGCAAATGCTTACTTTGCGTAATGGTTGAGCCGCCCCTGATGGCAGTATTGAAGGGGCCTGAGTTAAGGGTGTCAAATTCCACATTATCTGCTTTGAAGTGGGTTACCTGAGTCCACACTCAGATAATGTGGGATTTTCTGCCTTGATATTCTGAGATATAGGGCTGTGTGGAAGGGACTTCGAGGACGACATCCACCATTGGGTTGCCTTTAAAGGGCTGTTGAATCCATGGACAGATAATCTGTGCATACAGTAGGCCAGCTATAAGTTTTTTACATAGTGGTCAGTGCTCTTTAGTTTTTACCCAATTTGGCCCCAGATTGAACCACAGATTGAACCCCAGATTGAAACACAGGTCCCATCACTTTTGCTTATCCACCATGCAGACTGGGGATGGTGGGAACTGCCACCCAACAGCACTTATGGCTCTGAGGTTGGGGGAAGGTTAAAGGACACATTAAAGCCAGCCATCATATCCACAAGCCTTATATCTAAATTTACTATCCTAACTAAACAAAACAAACTGCAGCCTTCAAGATATCACTGTATCACAGTTCCCATCAACTCTAGTCATGGTGTCTAATGACAAGGAATATGAGAATTGTAGTCCAGCATCCAGAGGAGCACAAAAATGACATGGTGCATCTTGAGTTTGACACATGCCCTCTGAGTACTGGAATAGTTCAGAATTATATTAACTGAAATTAAATAAATGAATTAAATGTGATTAAATTTATTGCAGATCTGGCAGAACTGGCTCAGACCAACCTGTTGCTTCGGGGAAAGGCCACAATTCATTGTCTCATCCCTGTTCAATATAATTCGTATATTGCCTGGGCTACTATTTAGACCCCTTCCATACAACTGTGTGGAAGGAGCCTAAAACAGCAGGACACTTATCTCATGCTTCCTTCAGTGTTAAACAACTAGGCAATGACCAGGTTGGACTTCAGAAAATGAGGATTTCATGTATTTTTGTCAGTAGTTAATTCTGCCCTTGCAATTAGCAAAAAAGTGAGTTGAGATGCCACATGGTCAGTTTACACCATTGTAATTCACCAACAGGGTTAGAGCTAAAAATTGTAGCGATTCCATAACATGAATCATTCTCTAGCTCCATCTACACTGCCATATAAAAGCCCAATTATCAGCTTTGAACTGGATTATATTACAATGTAGACTCACACATAGTGTGGATTATATAGCAGTGTAGATCCAGCCTCAGTGTATATAAAATATGTAGGATAAAAAGACTGCAAAATCTTTACAATACCAGTACTTTTCTGGAGCTACTAAATGAGCAGTTTGCTTAATACCGTAAAATGCATTTTAGGGGATTTCTTTTTTCAAATGTGCTCCTGCTTATCTACAAGAAGATGCGGACTTATCTACAGGTTACTCAAAAGTGGTTTTCGAAAGTGTAGATATCAAAATAAAGCAGTGAACTTTTGCCCATCTAACTTTTACACATTTTTAAAAATGTAGATTAATATCAGTTTTTTTACATAACATAGTAGCAAGCAATTTTGTTAGTTATGAATAACTTTTGGTAGCACATGAGTAATCACTATGAAGATAATTACTGAACTTTCAGTAACATTTCCCGTATATTCCCATGATAGACTGGAAGATGGTGGAGGTGGGGAGATGCCCTGCTAGACAGCATAAACAATGTATTTCTAGGTATTCTGTATCTGTAGGAAACCTGAACTCATTTTTGTATGGTATGAAAGTGCTCATTTATTCCCTTACTACCTCCTGTTTTACTGATCCTACGCAGGGCCCTTCCACACAGCCATATAACCCAGAATATCAAGGTAGATATCTGATTTGAACGGTGTTATCCGAGTCCATACAGCCATATATTCCAGTTCAATGTGGATTTTATAAAGCTGTGTAGAAAGGGCCTGGATGATATCTGTACAGAAGTTGATTGTAAATGATATGATTATAACTGTATTTGTGTTTGCACTGGTTGCCCTAATTTGATTGTAAATGATATGATTATAACTGTATTTGTGTTTGCACTGGTTGCCCTAATGCTGGAGCGGCCTAGCTGTGAGGAGTGTGTTACCATGGAAACGATGCTGTAGAGAAGTGGGAGGAGCTTAGAGAGGAGAGTTTTAAAAAGCGACAGTTAAAGTCAGTTGGGGGTTTAGGCTCAGAGGAAAGAAGAGTCAGGTTTTAGGCTCAGGGAAATGAAGTGTTGAGAGAGAGAGTGGGAAGTAGAGTAGCAGTGTTTGTGA